GCAGAGGTGAGGATGGGGAGCAGGTAAGAGAAGAGCTAGAAGTGGTTAGAAGTGGACCCTGGGGTGCTGAGTCCTGGGATGATTCGAATCACACACACAGCAAGGGTCTGGTTTAGAGCTTCACTTGGAGCTGGGGAGGATGTGTGGCCAGGATACCCCTGAGAAGTGATGTGGCAAGAATGTGGCCATTGGGTCCTGCTATCCTAAATCATATTCCACTCAGGCTTTTGTGCTCTGACCCTGAACCCCAGATATAATGACCAGCTCTCACCTCTGAGAGGAGAATGTGGAGTCCTAGAAGCCAGGGAAGGAATGTGTCAAGGAGGGAGGGCACACAGCTGTACCAGTACTGCTGCTGGCACCACAGGATACAGACTGAGAGCTGGTCATTATATTTTCCCAACCTGCCAATTTTAGTGTGTCCCAGAGTCCTGCCCTTGATTTGACTATCTTTACTCCCAGATGTTCTCTTCTGGCTTTACATACGCATCTATAATCTGATAGTCCCCATATTGCTTTCCCAACCCAGACCTAATCTCTGAACTCCTAGTTTGCAATCTGCTGCCTCCTTTCCTTGCATTTCCACCAGCAAGTTGCAGGGGGAGTTTTCTAAGTGGCAACCCAAAGCCATAATGTCCCATTTTGAGCCCTTGACCTTCACCCCAAATTTGTTTTTCTTTTTCCTCACCATTGCAGTCAGTGGCAGTTTTATCCTTTCTCCATTTAAGCTCCAAACCTCGGAATTGTCTTTGGCCACAACTCTTTTTGTCACATCCACTTCTATGTCAGCAAGTCACCTACTCTTATCTTTAAAATCTATTAACCCCTGAGAAGTCTTTTAAATACCTTATGTACAGTGTACTTGGTTCTATGTGTATGAGTATGTATGCTTGTAATATATATATACACATATATATATATATTTTTTTTTTTTTTTTTTGGTCCTGGGGATTGAACCCAGGGGCACTTAACTACTGAGCCACATCCCCAGCCCTTTTTTATATTTTATTTAGCGGGTCTCACTGAGCTACTTAGGGCCTTGCTAAGTTGCTGAGGCTGGCTTTGAACTTGCGATCCTCCTGCCTCAGCCTCTTGAGCCCCTGGGATTATAGGCATGCTCCACCACGCCCAGCTTACTTACAATATTTGTAGAAACTTACTGCATATAGGGCTGGGGCTGTAGATCAGTGTTAGAGCACCTGTTTAGCATCTGTAAGGCCCTGGGTTTGATCCCCAACATGGCAAAAAAAAAAAAAAAAATGCAAAACATAATTTTCCAGTATTTTTAATTTGTGTGAAAAACAATGATGATTGATATATGGGCATTTATGATAGACTGGATTTGAGTGAGCAATCTTGTGTGGCCTGCAGAGTTCAAACACTCCATGCCTCTTTGAAACTGTTCTGATGGTTGAGAAGTCCTATAGAAAAGGAACCGCAGCCAGGCACGGTGGCGCACACCTGTAATCCCAGCAGCTCAGGAGGCTGAGGCAGGAGGATCGTGAATTCAAAGCCAGCCTCAGCAATGGTGAGGCGCTAAGCAATTCAGTGAGACCCTGTCTCTAAATAACATACAAAATAAGATTGGGGGTGTGTGGCTCAGTGGTGGAGTGCCCCTGGGTTCAGTCCCCAGGACAAAAAAGAAAAGGAAAGGAACTGTAGGCCCCTTAGAAAAACCCATGTTCTGGACTAGGGTGTAGCTCAGTGGTAGAAAGCTTGCCTAGGCATGTGAGGCACTGGGCTTGATCCTTAGCACCACATAAAAATAACATAAAATAAAGGTATTGTGTCCATCTACAATTAAAAAAAAAAAAATTAAAGAAAAAGAAAAGCCAGGCACGGTGGCACACGCCTGTAATCCCAGCAGCTCAGGAGGCTGAGGTAGGAGGATGGTGAGTTCAAAGCCAGTCTCAGTTTAGTGAGGCATTTAGCAACTCAGTGAGACCCTCTCTCTAAATAAAATATTAAAAAAGGGTTGGGGATGTAGCTCGGTGGTTGAGCACCCCTGGTTTCAATCCTCCATACGAAAAAGAAAAGAAAAACCATGTTCTGGGCTGGCGGTGGCATGCTTGCCTAGGGTGTTTGAGGCCAACCTAGAGTCAATCCCCAGCACCACCAAAAAAGAAAGAAATCCTTTATGAATGTCTCATTGAGAAAATTATGTCCATTTTATAGGGCTCACTGGGCAGAAGGAGCAGGAAGAGGGTGATTGGACTCCATAGTCTGTGTGCCTGGGGGAAGGGAAAGTGGTGTCTGCAGGGAGTACAGTGGGATGTTGGAGACTTTTGACTCCAGGAAGGTGATCCTTGCCCTCTTACCTGCTCATTGGGACCAGGTGAGGCCTCCAGTTCTGAAGAAGAACCTCCATCTCCAGAGGACAAAGAGAACCAGGCTCCAAAACGGGCTGGCCCACATCTGCGCTTTGAGATCAGTAGTGAGGATGGCTTCAGTGTGGAGGCAGAGAGCTTGGAGGGTGAGTTGGGAACAGTAGTGGCAGGGAAGAAAAGTGGCCCACAAGACCTCCTCCTGACTCTACTCTGGCACTGCTGTTACTCCAGGGGCGTGGAGAACATTGATTGAGAAAGTGCAAGAGGCCCGAGGGCATGCACGGCTCAGACATCTCTCTTTTAGTGGTAAGTAAGGGGTAGATCCACAGGGACTTGGGGGCTGGGATAACTCCCTGAGGGCAAGGTGGGCCTTCCAGGATTTGATCCATCATCAACCTCTCTCCTCAGGAATGAGTGGGGCCAGGCTCCTGGGCATTCACCATGATGCTGTCATCTTCCTGGCAGAGCAACTGCCTGGGGCCCAGCGCTGCCAGCACTATAAGTTTCGCTACCACCAGCAGGGAGAGGGTCAGGAGGAACCACCCCTGAATCCCCATGGGGCTGCCCGTGCTGAGGTCTATCTCCGGTGAGAGGTCTGGGAGCTCTCAAGGGTGGGAGCTGAGTCTGTAGTATTGAAACCAAGTCCTGGGAAGAAGATGCTAGGCTGCTCCAAGAGTGGTGGGGTTTTGTTGTTTGTTTTCTTTTCAGTCCTGGGGATTGAACTCAGGGGTACCTACCAAGCCACACCTGTAGCCCCTCCTCCCATTTTTGAGACAGGCTGTTGGACAGTCTGGCCTTGAACTTGTGAGCCTCCTATCTCAGGCTCCCAGGTTGCTGGGATTATAGGCCTGCACAATGCCTGGCTCCAAGAGTTATTTCTAACATAACATTCACATCAGAAGAATAAAGCCCACCATTTCCCCTTTTGCTGTGTCTTCAACAGCATATTCCTCCTATGCTGTCAGCAGCAGACCAAGGCCACAGAATCTGTAGGCAGCATGAAGGAATGTATGACCCTCCCTCCCTCCCTCCTTCCCACCTGCAGGAAGTGTACCTTTGATATGTTCAACTTCCTGGCCTCCCAACACCGGGTGCTCCCTGAGGGGGCCACCTGTGACGAGGAAGAGGATGAGGTGCAGCTCAGGTCAACCAGGTATGGAGGGTAAGCTGGGGTGCTGTGGGTGGTCTGAAAGAATCCTAAAGAGGGCGACCAGGGGTAAGAGAGCCCTCTTTCCTGGATTCCACACTTCTGTCTCCCACCAGACGTGCCACCAGCCTGGAACTGCCCATGGCCATGCGCTTTCGCCACCTCAAAAAGACTTCCAAAGAGGCTGTGGGTGTCTACAGGTTAGTGGGGTCGGGGGAGGTGCCCCTTGGGTGGATGGACAGGTGCCCTGGTAGGGGGCGATATGGTGTCTGGCCCTCTGCCCCCCTGAGTTTCCCCTTATCCATCCTACACGGCAGATCAGCCATCCATGGGCGAGGCCTGTTCTGTAAGCGCAACATCGATGCCGGCGAGATGGTCATTGAATACTCTGGCATTGTCATTCGCTCTGTGCTGACTGATAAGCGGGAGAAGTTCTACGATGGGAAGGTGGGCTGCACAGGCCATGGGAATGAGGTGGGTGAAGTGGGCCAGTCCTTGGGGATGAGCACCTGATTCTCTCCACCCATCTCTGTAGGGCATCGGGTGCTACATGTTCCGCATGGATGACTTTGATGTGGTGGATGCCACGATGCATGGCAATGCCGCCCGCTTCATCAACCATTCATGTGAGCCCAACTGCTTCTCTCGTGTCATCCATGTGGAGGGCCAGAAGCACATCGTCATCTTTGCCCTGCGCCGCATCCTGCGTGGTGAGGAACTTACCTATGACTACAAGTTCCCCATTGAGGATGCCAGCAACAAGCTGCCCTGCAATTGTGGCGCCAAGCGCTGCCGACGGTTCCTTAACTGAGGCCGTGGCTGCCCACCACGACTCCTCACAACTCCTCTTGCCATCTTGCCCCTAGCCTGAAGGATCCCTAGTCCCTCAGAGCATCTCACTTCCACCCTCCTGTTCAGAGTGGATGTGGACATGCAGGTGGCAAGGGGCCTGCCTCTACCCTTCCAGCAATTGCCCCCTTCCTGCCCTGGGGGCCCAGGATGTAGATATTGTACAAAGGTTTCTAAACCCCTTCTTTTCTATGCACTTTTTTTATTTAAGAGGGTGGGGTCTCAGGTGGGAACCCCCCACAATAAAGTCTGTCAATGTTTGGAGAGGTGGTCTTCCCATGTGTATGGTGTTGGGGGCAGGTAGGGGCAGGTAGGAGCTGTTGCTTCTCCATACCCCAGCCCTTCCTGAACCAAGGAAGTACATCAGCCTCAACAGTATGTGAGAGGCCATGTAGGAATTAGGAGTAAATTGTGTGGTCTGCGAAGTTTTCAAAGCAAGAAATGCCTCACGTTTTCTAATGTAGAATGCAGACTGAATGCCTGTGGATGAGCTGTCTGAGGTGCAGCAGGACTGTTCAGAAAGCAGCACTGAGGTCAGCTGTCCCACACGTGGCCCTTCTGTAGGGAGGAGGTGGTGGCATGTTGGGTCTTCTTTGCCCAATTAGGATTATGCTTCAAGAAGTCCCCTTGATGAGGAACAGACAGCAAGTTGAATTCAAGATAAACTATTTTTGAGCAGTAGGCCTGGCAAATCCCAAATCAGCCAAGCTTGGACAGCACCCTTAGTGCATCTTCCCTTCCTATGTGGGCCAGGTGCACACTTAGCTGGCCCAGGGAGGCAGATGGCTCCCTTGCTACCACCATCTCAATCAGGGCCCGCAATGGTGAGCGACTGGGCCGCAGTGAATAGGCAAAGGTGGACCAAGTAGCAGGCAGCCCATATCTTGCAGCCAGGTGTCGAGTGGTGCCATAGGCCATATATCCAGCAGGCCCAGGCTCAGGATCCAACAGCACTATCAGTTCCTCCAGCACCTCCAGTTCATCCAGGAGGCGAGACAGGGGCTGTGACTCCAGACCTGGCAGACCTGGGAAATGGAAAGTAAAAGGGAGGGAGGGGCAGACTTCTAGGTCACCCCTCACCTGTATGTGTCCTGTTTCCAACTAACCTTTGCCTGAGAGTGGAAGCAGAGATACTGTCCCTGTGGTCCTTTTCTCCAGTGCCTCCGGGGCACCCAGGAAAGGTGAGTGTAAGGAGCGGATGTAGGTGTTGGGGTCTCCACAAACCAAGCCAGGAGAGGGAAGGGAAATGGCTTTTCCCTTGCGGGGACAGTAGTATCTTTGTAGGAGGCGCAGGAGGATCACTGCAAAGATCAGGAGTAGGACCAGCAAGGAGATCAGTACCAAAGACAGAACAAAATTTGGCAGCGTGTTGGTGCTCTCAGTTGTCCATGAGAGACTGGAACTCACTGGTGAACTAGGGGCTCTGGTTTCTTGAGATGACATAGGGCAGAAGTCCTTGGAAGGGATGGGCTTCTGGGAATAAAGATTTGGGAATTAATAGGGAGTCCATGTGCCACGCCTGTCCCAACAGCTCAAGCCCCTCCCATCCTTATATCCTTCATGGGGCTACATCCACTGTTCCATCCTGTCCCCACTCCACTCACCCCACACTACCTTAACCCAGTCCGCCTTCCCCACATCCCATCAGGCACACCACTTTGAGGTACTGCTTGGCCCTTCTGTGGGGAGGAGACCTTGTCTTAACTGCTGAAGGCCCACTCCTACCTCTAAACAAGCCTCACAGGCCTGCCCTACAGCCCTCACTCACCCCTTACTCGGCTTCCTATCCCCTCCCTGGGTCCAGGCCCTGCCCATCGACCCCCAAACCATGCCTCCCACCCCACCTTGAGCAAGCCCTGACCCAGACCCTGGAGGCCGCCCAGCACCTCTTTACAACGTTGTAAGGTTCTGCTTCCACGGCTTCCCACGGGAGTGGAGGCTGCGACCCCACTGCTGCAGGGACTACATTGCTCTGAGTTGTTGGGGTTGCAGTGTCCAGGAGGACACTTTCTGAACGGGTGCATTAAGAAATCGCCGAAGTCGTTGAGCCCGCAGTTTTCCACGAACTCGAAGTCTAGAGGGAATCAAACGCATGATCCTGAGCGGCTGAGCGAGCCCCCAAACCTCTGCTGTATTAACTTGTCTCCTTTGCCCCATCCCAGTAAGTCCCGCCCCTTCAGCACGCACCCAGCCTAACAGTGCCCGCCTTCGCCTTCTCTTCTTTTCACACTGATCCCGCCCCTTTCACCACTTTATATTGGCCTCTCCCCTTTTTCCTCCACCCACTCTGCACCAGGCACTGCCCATACCCGAATTCACCCACAAAAAGGCCAACCTTTCCACACAACCGCTAGCCCCCACCCCACCCCCCACCACGCCACTAGCGGGCCCCATCTCTGTCCTCCACATAGGCTCTGCCGGCGGGCCTTGTCTTACCTGCTGAAGGCCCACGCCTGCCTCTAAACAAGCCTCACAGGCCTGCGCTACAGCCCTCACACACCCCTTCCGCGGCTTCCTACCACCTCACCTGGGCAGGGAGGCGGCCCGAAGCGCTCTAAGCACCTGCTGCAGCACTTTCTGTCAGGGTTCCAGTACTCCAGGTGGCCGCAGTACTGGGAGGCTTCCGGCTGTGGTAAGGCCTGAGCCATAAGCAGCAAGGCGACACGGAGGAAGCGTCCGGTCCCCATCTGGGCAGGTCCTACACACCGCAGGCTGTGGCCACAAGACTTCCGACCACAGCTCTTCTGCTATACTTTCCAGAAATCCTGGGGGAAGAAGGAAGTAGGAGAATTCCTTGCGGGGAAGGAATTCCATGGCTTCTTTGGAAGTGGGAACCTAACCCCCACCAGAGGCCCCAGGCCAACTCCTCGTCCATTATCAGGACCCAAGGGGCCTCAAGATGGCTAAGGAGAACTCTGGATCTGGTATCCACCCTCCCTTTTCCATAGCACCTGGCTGCTGTGGAGAATATTATGTTATTAGAAGCGCTTGGAGCCAGCCAGGCCATGGTGGCCTGTAGGCCTGTTACTCAGAAGTTGCCGAGGGAGGACTGCTAGAGCCCAGGAGTTGGGAGATCAGCCTGAGCAAAATAGCAAGACCCTGTCTTGAAGGAAGGAAGGAAAATTACTTAGAAAAGTAAACCCCTTAGAACAGCACCTGGCATATACCAAATTCACTTTAAGTGTTAAGTATTACCACCATCTCAAGAGTGGTGGTCTTCAAGAACCCAGCCCTAACTCACTAGAGACTCCCACTGAACTACCAACCACCTCTCCCCTCCTGACCTAATCTCTTCCATGTTAGGAATCCTCCAACCTGCCATAAACAGATACCTCCCCCTTGAGGATGTCTCAAATGGAGAAGCTGAGGTTTCCAGGACAAAGGTATCCCCACCCCACCAGTACAGACCTGAGCCCAAGCCTCTCTCACATTAGTAGTTCGAAGTGCTTCTGCTGAGCGTGTGGCTGGAAGCCAGCAGTTTTCTCTCTCTCTCTCTCTCTCTCTCTCTCTCTCTCTCTCTTTTATCGGAAGTGTGGAAGGAAACTGCAAACCACAGATGACGCTCTAAACCCTCAGTGTGGAACTTTATTAGGTGAGGCACAGTAGAGAAAATCCTTGTTATAAAGATTACTTAATGGACTTCTGGAGCCTGGGGAAGATGGGGCTAGAGTGAAGGGGAGTTTGAGGGGTCCTTGCCAGAAACATCTGTGACTGTCAGGGGTGAAGGGCAAGGGAGCCAGTCTTAGAAGTGGTATGCCGGTGGTCTGGGGAATGGTGACAGTTCCTGAACTTTCTCGGGGATGGTGGCCAGTATGGGACCTCAGGGGTGATCTGGGGATAGGAAGGGAGAGAACTGGGTTACAGCCATTGGGAGTGGTGCAAAGATCCCCCACGCCTCTCTGCTCTGGGATGGGCAGGGTGGTCATTAATATAACTAGTGTTTCACAAGGTGGTTTCAGGAAAGGGCACTCAGGGATCAATCTCAGGGCTGGAGATCTAGGCTGGTCTTGGATTTGAGGTTCAAGCTGGTTTGGGGATTGAGACTGAGGTACCAGTTTTCAGATAGAGCTCACGACTATTCTTAGGGTACAAGAGTCTTGGGACACTGACTGAGATTTAGGATTAGGCTCATCTCAGGGTCCTTAGCTATAAGAAATCTTGACAGACTGGTCCCGAGTTACCTGTGCCTAGGTCACCGCCCATAGAGCTGCCGCCTGAGGTTCCATGATATGGGTCACAGGTGCATGAAGTTGCAAAAGCCACCTGGGGTACATTCCCTGAGTAGAGGATAGATGGATATAGGAAACTTTCCTCACTGGGTGTGTTTGAGCCTTCCAGCACACACTCAAGAGTCTGGGACTCTGACTCTGTCCCACCCTTAAACTACCATACCCCATTTCATACTGCTGACAGCATGACTCCTGAAAGTCGGTGACAGGAGACAGCTCAGCATGCACAGCCTGACCGTTGAACCAGAGGTTATTGAGTTCAGCCACTGCCCCCTCTGCATCTTCATCCTGCCAAAACTGGAGAAAGTGGGTGGCTGTCAGCAGCAGAACTTGTGATCTTCAGGGAACTAGATAGTAGCTCTGAGGCTAGACAGGATTTAACTTAGTAATGGACCTCAAACTGTGAAGTTTCAGTGATGGTCACCAGGCATTGAAATGCTTCCATTTCAGGGCTGGGGAAAGGGGGGCTGGCAGCAAGCACCTTGACATAGACATTGTCCACGAGGTGGTCCCCCAGGCTGTCACACACATTCATCTCTTCAATCTCCCCATACTTCTCCTGCAGTTCTGTGAACACTTCCTGCAGAAGACAAGGAGAAACTCAGTTAAGCTGGCAGAGGAAACCCAACCTACCCGTGCTGACTCTCACCTCAAAGAAGTTATCATAGTGTTCCTGCACCTCTACATCGCTCATGTGACCTGGAGGTGGGGAGCAGGGTGAAATCAGGAGACGTCCTTCCTGCAAGGCTGTCTGCCCTGCTCCTGTCCTGTCTAGTCCCTTACTCACAATGAGATCCATCTGCGGTTGGGGCGGTGTTCTGTGATTCCGATATAGGTTGAGCAGCACTATGGTCTGAACAGAATTTAAAGGGGGCGGGACCTGAGCTCGGAGGGCAGGGCTTCATGCAGAGAGGGAAGTACCCAAGTTTGGGAGTGGAACCCTGCACCAGAGAAGAACTCTAAGCATCATCAGTGCATCAGCGGTGCTTGCCACTTAGAAAGAGGTGGGGGAGGACCTAGAGACAATAGACGGCCCAGCGGCACAGTCTGTCATAGGGGGGTGTGGCCAAGCCTCAGGGAGGGGGCGTTGAAAGCAAAGGGGAGGAACTTGCAGAGAGGGCCTACCAGAAAACAGCCGGGCGGTAGGCTGGACCTTAGAAATACGGAAAAGGTGGGACCTAGTGATGATGGACAGCAGAAGGGGAAGAGCCTGAAGGTAGTAGCCAGGCGGGATCCGAGTTCGGACTCATCTGGCTGAAAGTCGGCTTATTGTGAAGCCGGCCCCGATCTTAAAGTAAAAAGAGCAGTTAACCCTGGAAGAGGTGCAAAGACAGTGGTGAATTAGGGGCCGGGAAGGTCGGACACCCCAGAAACACCGTCCCCAACCGTCCGGCTACCAAGGACCAAAGCCCTAGCCCCCAATTCTCGAGAGGACACTCCCCGCGCCTGTTCTCACTTGTCCTTCTCAGTCCCGAATATCGAAACTAAATATTCAGCCATTTTCACTCGAACCCTCTAGCTTGCCCGATCCTTACGTCACTTCCGGTACTTAGGAGCGTTGGGAAGTGTAGTTCGTCTCTGCCTCCGCACGCTTATCACGCGCTCACAGACTCCCTAGTGCGCTTGCGCATTGGAGGTCCGCGCCCCCCTTTCACAAACACCGCCGGGAGGTTCCTGAATGCGCATGCGTACAGCGTTGCCTCTCCAAAAAGAAAGAACTACAAACTCCAGCGAAACCTGCGGCACCTCTCGCAAACGTCCGTAGTTGAAAATACCAAAGGCATCCAAGGTAAAGGAAATAAACTCCACTGGTGAGTTTTGAGTCGCTTCGCGAACCCCAATAAATATAAAGAGCTTCGTTCACTCGTCCTGCTTGCTAATGGGAGCTGTGTGCCCTTCTTTCATCAAACCCACATCTGCATTTGTCTCTGATTTGTCGTAATAGGGGCGTGGCTGTTCGTGATCTCTGCATCTGTTACTTGGGTCTTGCCCCGCAGACCCTTAAGAGGACCCGGGTCTAGCGCAAATATGAACTTGGAGCGGGTGTCCAATGAGGAGAAGTTGAACCTGTGCCGGAAGTACTACTTGGGTAAGGGCCAATCCCTGAGGGTCTCGGGAGAAAAGAGGGGACTGAATTAGAGCGCTTGGGGGATAGAGGGCCTAGGGGTTTGGATTCGTGGGTCCCTAGGGGTAAAGCAGCTGGAAACTCCGACTCCTGGATCTGAGAGAAGGGAGGGTCCTGAGGAAGGAGGAAGTTGAGATCTCATCCTATAAGAAGTTGAAGAATCAGATTCCTGGAACCCAGGGAGGAGCCAGGATCCCTGAGCCCCTGACAGCAGCAATCTCCCGTTGAACTAGATCTTCTGTGTGGGCTTTGGTAGAGATCCTTATTGCTTTATAACCCAGTGTGGATTATCTTCCTAGGTGGGTTCGCGTTCCTGCCTTTTCTGTGGTTGGTCAACATCTTCTGGTTTTTCCGAGAGGCGTTCCTCGCCCCAGCCTACACAGAGCAGAGCCAAATCAAAGGCTGTAAGTCTAGGGCACAGAAGAAAGGGGAAGTGGGGGTGGGGGGTGGATGCTCCAGAATTCGGGGATCTGTGAAAGAGAAGAGAGGGATGGTCAGAGTGAGTCCAAAGAGCATCTGGAGGCCAACCCTCCTCATTCCTGTTCCCCATTATAGATGTCTGGCGCTCAGCTGTGGGCTTCCTCTTCTGGGTGATTGTGCTCACCACCTGGATCACCATCTTCCAGATCTACCGGCCCCGCTGGGGTGCCCTTGGAGACTACCTCTCCTTTACTATACCCTTGGGCACCCCCTGACAACTTCTCCACAGCTTGGGGACCTGATTTCTCCCTGGATGGGCTCCTCTGTTTTAGGTTCACTTTCAAGCCCCAAAGACATGTGTCCATCACCTGTCATCTCTGTTGACATCCCCAATAAATAACCCTAACTTTTGATATTGACTTCCTGAGATCTTTGGACGTTGAAGCATAAAATGATCATTAACATTCAAAAACATTTAGTGAGTGCTTACTTTGTATCAGGTTTAGTGCTTCACACATTATATGCATTTTTTTCCCCCACTAAAAACTAATAACCCTCTGGAATAGTAACTTTCCTGTTCATGAACCCTATTTTACAGATGAGGAGCCAAGAAACAAATAACATGCCCACTTCTAGAGGGTGCTATCCTGTAATGGTGGTTGTGAATTCAAAAACATGACTTTCTGGGCAGAGGATGTGGCCCAGTGGTAGAGCATAAGCCTAGAGTGCATGAGGACCTGGGTTTGATTCTTGGCATCACAAAACTAAACAAAAATATGAATTTCCTACTCTGGGCCCCAATATTCTCATTAGAATACAAATCAGGATGCTACCTCCTAGGAGTTTATCTAGGCCAAGACATGTGCTAAGTGGAAATTTTTCATTCTCTGAAGGAAGTGTTGTCTGCAGCAACAGAGGTGTTCAAGATCTTTCTCAAGAGAAGTCTTCTTTGAACTTCCTATTTAAAATTTAAATTCCTGTCTTGCTCCCTGTTACCATTTCAAGCTATATTCTTTCTCTTATCATCAATCATTTGGAATATGTTATCTGATTATTGCCTATCTTCCATCCTCCAAAAGATAAGCTCCATTAGGGCAAGGATTTTTGTTCACTGCAATTTCCCCAGTGCCTAATTATTTGCTAAATGAATGAGATTGTACCTGAAATTAACATGTAGCTGGGCATCTAACTAGTGCTCCAGAAGAGGAGGCCACTCTAATTTAAGACTAGTCTCCCTTTTAGGAACCAGAGGGACTCCTACGGTTAGTTAAACCCTGTAAATAGGTAAATCGGTGTTCCCCAAACCTAAAACTACAACTCCCCAAAAGCCTTGCGATGCCGGAGCTTTTGTTTCCCACCGCGCCTCGCTCTGGCGAGGGCGGCGTTACAGATTGAGTCACGGGAGCTAGGACTACACCTCCCAGGAAGCACCCCKGGTTGTCGTTGGTTTGTTTCCGGAAGCGGCAGCCCAAAAGGTGGGACCTAAGGCTGGGAGCCGTGGGGGCGGCAGCTGTCAATTGGCCAGCGAACGAAATTGACGACTTGGCTGACTAATGGGAACAAGAGACTGTGGAAGGGGCCCACCCACAGAAGGGGAAGAAGGGAGGCGGCGGCCACTGCTGCAGTCGCGGCTGGACACTGCTCAAGCTGGAGGGCCTTCCGTACACGGAGCTTACCTTTGACCTCTCCCCGCTCGCCTCTTGCCTTGATTTGTGACACTAGGCACTTTTGGGTTTTTTGTGACCCAGCTAGCCAGACTCCGAAGCCAAACCATGTTCCCGGTGAAGGTGAAAGTGGAGAAATCAGGTGAGAACCCAGAGATCGGGGGGCCTGAAAAGGGAGCACTGTGCTGTTCAGGGTATTGGAGGTCTGCTAGGCAGGAGTATCGCGAAAAGGCGGCTAGGTGACTTCTGCTTGCAGCCCATCTGACAATCGCGATATCAGGCATCGATCATTCCATCCCCGTCTGTGCTGACAGTAGCTTTGAGATTGAATGGTGGTGGTTCAGACAGCTGGTTTGGTAAGAGGAGGGGATTTTCAGCCGGTAACTGAGAAGGGCCCTTTTCTTGCCCCCACCTCAGTTTCTCCGATTCCATCAGTGGTCATGTGTCAGGCGTTGTGCTGTGAATTTGAAAAATAAGGACTCTTAACCCTCACGGTCACTATATTCCAATAATCCTAGGAATAAGGAAGTGCATTGGATAGGGAAACAAGCTCAGACAGAAGAAGTCATTTTGGATTGGGGCAGAGCTGATGGGAATCCAAGACTGGCCTGGTAAAACCAGTGGGGAGGCAAAGAATTCAAACAAAAATATAATAGTCGAATGACATCCGGTGAATATTATTAAATATAGAAGACAGGAGCTGAGTTTGGTGGTGTAGTTCTTATCCTGTGGAGGATAAGAGAATCACTTGAGCCTGGGAGTTCTGGGCCTGCCTGGGCGATATAGCAAGACTTTGCCTTTTAAATCTTAAAGAGAGAAGTTAAGGAGATCAGGAGTGGGAGTGAGGCAAGGCACAGCAGAATGCTATGAAAATGATATTAGAGGGAACTGCCAAACAAAGGAAGTAGTTTTGAAGAAGGCCCGAAAAAGGCCCAGAAATAGAAGCCTTACCTGGTGAGTTGGGGGGACAGTAGGGAGGCCAAGGAGGCTGAAGCAGAGTGAGGTAGAGAGGAGGTTGAAGCAAAGAGGTGTTCAGGGTTGACAGATCTTGTGGGCCCAGGTGAGGACTTAGGCTTTTGCTTTGAGAGAAATAAGGATCCAAGAGAGGGTTTTGAACTCAAGTGGCTTAATAAAGGACCTTCCCAATGCCAAAAAAATATTCAGACCCCTTAGGGGTCTGAACACAAATGATGGTAGGGGCTAGAGATAGACCTGTGAACTCCAGACTGAGTGAAGACTCCACCCTCTGGGGGGCGCTGTGGAGTCCTGGAGGATTCTAAGCTGGGGAAAATCAGGGTCTTGTTTTTGATTTTGATTTTGGAAGTTCCCCTGGCTACCTTGAGATACTGAGGTTAGGATCCCAAGGAAAAGAGAAGACAGGACCAGGATGGGCAGGATAGAAAGGGTGAAGGAGGGAAGACACTCAGGAGGCCAAGTGGTCAAGCCATGGGGTAGAGGGCTGAGGCCAGTGTAGGGCCTGGTGCATAAAAAGCACAGGGGATGTCCAAGGGGAGGTGTCTAAGTTGTAGGATCTATAAGTTGGGATTCAGGAGAGAAGCCAAGACTGGGAAAGAGATGTGAACATGATGCAAGGCTCTTTGCTACAGTCTCAGCAGCCCCAACCCCCATCTTCAAACTGTCTGTCCTCTAAGGGATGTTGGGAATCCCTGTATCTCTCAGTCTCTGCCGGCTGTACCCTTTTAGCATGCCTGGACCAGGCAATAGTATTGGCCTTGGTGGAGATATACATACAGAGGTGACTTCTGCTTGGTACCCTTTGCCCCCAGAGTTGGAGATGGCCAAAGCCCGGAACCAACTGGATGCTGTTCTGCAGTGTCTGCTGGAGAAGAGTCACTTGGACAGGTTGGAACCTGGTCCAGGGTGGGATCATGGGGCTGGAGCTCTGGCAAATTGAAACTCCTGATCCTGGGTGGATCTGGGTGGGACCCCAGAGGCTAATTTTGGGAGAAAGGTGTCTCATGGGGAAGCCACTTGATGCAGTCACACACACACCAGGCCCTGGGAACCCTGAGCCAATAGTTCTCTTCTGCTACTAGGGAGCGGCTGGATGAGGAAGCTGGGAAAACCCCCTCAGACACCCACAACAAGTAAGCTGTTTTATAGGATCTGGATCCGAGAATGTGGTGGGTAACTCCTTTCCTCATCTAGTCCCTGGCCACTCTGCCTGCGCTTTCTCTGATACACTCCTAACCACACTACATATACAAAAACTGTGACAGAAGCAGTTTAGGTCCCCTCATGGTTGGCATCTAGAACCCCACGGTATGAGTGGGACACAAGACTCAAGGGGTCCCAGGGTGCCCTTTCAGGGGGTTTGGAGCAGGCATTTGTTTGAAGGTCAGCCTGCTAATGCCCTGTCTTTCCCCACAGAGATTGCTCCATCGCAGCCACTGGCAAAAGGTAAGGTGGCAGGGGCCCCAGCCAGTGGATGTGGTTTCCAGCCCTCACCCCTGTCTTGACACTTCCCTTCCTCACACAGGCCATCTGCCCGCTTCCCCCACCAGCGGAGGAAGAAGAGGAGGGAGATGGATGATGGGCTAGCTGAGGGAGGGCCTCAGCGATCCAGTGAGTAGGCAACCCCTAGAGGGTGGGTGGGCAGGGAGCCAGGGGCTACATAAGGATGCTTACTTACCTCCCACCCCCACCACCCCAGACACATATGTGATCAAGCTGTTTGACCGGAGTGTGGACTTGGCCCAGTTCAGTGAGAATACACCGTTGTACCCAATCTGCCGAGCCTGGATGCGCAACAGCCCCTCAGTGCGCGAGCGTGAACACTCACCCAGCTCACCACTGCCCCCACTGCCCGAAGATGAGGAGGTGGGATGGATGGTGGGCCCCAGCCCAGCAGCCAGGGAGGGCAGTGGGTAGACAGGCTCAAGGGACCCTCCCCTTAAGCTAGTGGTTGTCAAGTATAGGTCCCTAAGTCTCCCAAATGAATGTTGGACCAGGTGAGGCACACAGATGTACATACTCAGGCTAGGGGTATGGACAGAGGTCCCCTGAGGCAGGCAGACATGGCAATGTGGCCTTAGGGGAGAGGCAACAGGGCTCCCTCGGTCCAAGACATGACCTCCATTATTGGGTTCCCAAGGGCTAAAGGGCTGAACAGGGATCCTTAGTACAGATAGGTGAGGCTACTAGGTATAGCATGGACCCTCCTGGCTATGGAGGGATAGATGGGGATCTGTTAGTCATCTGGCCTGAGAGGGTAGACAGGGGTCCCCAGGACATACATATGACCCTTTGAACTATTAAGATACAAGCAGAGCCGGGCATGGTGCACACGCTTGTAATCCCAGCAGCTCAGGAGGCTGAGGCAGGAGGATTGCGAGTTCAAAGCCAGCCTCAGCAACTTAGAGAGGTCCTAAGTAACTCAGTGAGACCTTGTCTCTAAATAAAATACAAAAAAAAAAAAAAAAAGGCTGGGGTGTGGCTCAGTGGTTGAGCACTCTGGATTCACTCCCTAGTACAAAAAAAAAAAAAAAAAGATCAGAGCAGACCACAGGTAATGGTGGAAGAGGGTTCCTAGGTGACACAGACGTGACCTCCCACCCCAGGATGACAGGTATAGATGGGGTTTCCTGGGCTGGGCAAGGGTAGACAAGGGTTCTTAAGCTGACAGGAGAAGACAGGTATCCCTGGAGCAGACAGAGCTGACTTCCAGGCTGTTTAAGGTATCTGTCCTTCAGATATGAGTCCTCCAAGTATAGATTTCCCAGTGAGCCCCTTAAGTCTATTGTCTGGGAAAGTCAAGAAGGATAAAATGTGTACTCCCAGCCCTTTACTCTGATTCTCTTGGGCCTGGTATGGGGTATTGTATCTCTAGGGTTCAGAGGTCGCCAACAGCAAAAGTCGTGATGTGTACAAGCTGCCTCCACCTACAGCCCCTGGGCCACCTGGAGATGCCTGCAGATCACGCATTCCATCCCCACTGCAGCCTGAGACCCAGGGCACACCCGATGATGAGGTGGGTATAGGAGGCTGGCCTGAGGCTGTGGGTCATGTTGTGGGGCTCCAGTATGTACACCTGATCTCTATCCACACAGCCCTCTGAGCCGGAACCTTCACCCTCCACACTCATCTATCGTAACATGCAGCGCTGGAAACGCATCCGCCAGAGGTGAGGTTCCCCCAGCTGGCTTCCCCCCATGACCTCTTTTTCCATTTACTGAATCCTCGCTCTACCTCACCAGGTGGAAGGAGGCATCCCATCGGAATCAGCTTCGTTATTCAGAAAGCATGAAGATCCTCCGGGAGATGTACGATCGACAGTGACATTCCCAGCTCCTCCAATAAATATCCCCCAACCGTACACTAGCGTGTGTTCCAGCCGTTTCTTCCCAGTCCAAACAAAGCAGTTGACAGTGCTGTAGCACATTTATTGGGGAGTGAGCCTAGGAAAGAATGGGGGCATGGGGTGACGGGTCATTTGGTAAGGGAATGAAAGAGTGGCCACTTGGTTGGATCCTGGAGGATGAGGTGTGGAGGGTGGACTGGAGGTCAAGACAAAGGGACTGGAGAGTTATAGTTAACTGAGGAGGGGGCCCGACACATCTTTGTCTGGGGAGGTTGGGGGGCAACCTATACAGTTTTGAGTTTGCAGGTCCTAGTTGGCCTGGGATAGGTGTCCCAAAGTTTGGGAATCAGAAAAGAGCTCAAGAGTCTGGGTGGCTGGATGAGGTTTCAAGTCAAAAAATGGGGTGGGGACACTGGAGTATCTGCTTTTAGGAAAAGATCCAGAGTATTGGGGCATAGCCCTAGACTGGAGTGGGAGGTTTGCAGTCTGGGCCGTTTGGGGAGGGGTTATGCCTGACCAAGCAGGGCTACATACATCATAATCCGGTGTCAGTGTGTGTATGTGGATAAAAAAAATTTTTCATCAGTTAGAGGGAAGTACAGGAGGGAATCTTGAGGGGATATAAGACAAGAAAGTGGAGTCATTGCTAATGGAGTCTAGGCTGGGATCTAAAAGCTGGACGGGGGGTGTCATTGGAAGGGTCAAGGCTATTAAGGTTGGGTCTAGGGTGAAGGGGTCAGGACGGAATCTTGATTTGGATGGAGGGACTGTCTTGGCGCTGGGACTTCTGGCTGGGCGGAGTCAGATCGGCTTTAAGAAAAGGAACCTAAAGCGGCACCCCTCGCAACCACGGGGTTCAGGCGTGCCTGCACCTCTATTTGGCGGCAGGCGGTGGCGGCAGAGGGGCCTGGGACGACGCAGGTGCAGCCTGGATGGAGAGGACGCCCTCAGGGGACAGAGCCGAGGTCACGGCGGCAGGATCCACGCCCGGTGGCAAGCGGTAACGACGGTGGAACTCGCGAGCGATGAATCCGTGCTCGTCCTAGAGGGCAGAGAGGCTTCAGCTGGCCCGCCCCTTCCCGCAGGCGCCCCACCCCTCGCGCCTGCGCACGCCTTCCGCTCCAACCCGCCCGCGCTCACCGGGCGCTCTTCATGGCGCGCATGCACCTCCACGTGTTCGCCCACCACCTTGACAGCAATTTCCTCAGGCGAGAAGTGCTTCACATCCAGCAGCACCGAAAAATGACCGGGGTCTGTCGGCACCTGCGAACAGCGGGCGCGGGGCCGGGCGGGACTGTCATCAGAAGGGGCCGGGATCCCCAGACCCGGCGAGGCCCCACCCCTGTCGGCTCCATAACTACAGCTGACTCTGGGAAGTCCAGTTCCCTAATGAGAGTCAGTGAGGACCTCGTAACCCACTATAACGGGTATCCTCCCATCCCCTCTAATCACTGGATTCCCCTCACACAGAGAGTGATAAGGTTCCCTTTTCCTGCAAGGTCAGGTCGGAAGCCATCCTAAGGCGAGAAAGCCTGTCCCTTCCCCCAGTGTCAAACTCCATAGTCACTCTGCCCCCGCCCCAGCAGTCCTAACTCTCCACCCCGGCCAGAAATTGTCAAGATGCCTCTAACCACAAGTTTCCAGAATCCTTCTAAGCCCTCCAACTCGGGTCACCTAACCTCCTGCGCTCTCAGCAGTTTCTGGTACCCTTCCCCTGCTTCAGTGGCCAAGATGCCCTTCATCAAATCACAGGATCCTTTCTCTCCTTTACCTCTCCAGGAGACATCCGGGGAAGCACACACATCCTCCAAACTAACAACAACAAAACTAACAACCCTGCAACCATTCAAGAATCACTGCCTGCCCTTTCCCCCAGATTCCCTGGGTCACCGGCATCCTTCAGAGCCAAGACTCCCCTCCGAGTGACCCAGCCCTTCCACTCCCCTTAGAACTACGAGTCAATCCCCCCCACCCCTGCCCCTTCTGAGTGATGGGGATCTCGAACTCTTTTCAGCAACCCGATTCCAAACTGAGGGAACTCCAGAAACCCTGGGTGGTCGCACTCTCCACTATGCTCAAAGTCATCCCAGCACCCCCTCGGAGTGACCCAGACCTCTGGCTTTGAAAGTGGCCGAGTTGCCCCCTCCCCCGTGCCTGGCACCTGGGCGGTGGGCAGCGCCACGCTGGGGGCGCGCAGGTAGTAAGGGGCGAATGCAGCAGGACAGAGCGCAGCCAGCTCCGCCTCCAGCAGCCCCTCGCCGAAACGCTGGTCAAAGAGGCGTCCGGGAGTGGAAATTCCCGGCAAGGGGGCCGAAGCGCGACGTAGCCAAGACGGCTGCACAGGCACCGGGATTTCCATCCTGTTCCTCCACCGCCGCCCTGGATCCCGCAGTGCCCCTGCATGCACAGGCGCTGATTTATAGTGCGTCTTGTGCCGGCCCCTCCGCGGGCCTCTCGGGGACACTGGGACCGTGGCCAGATTCGGCCATTAGGAGCCTTATTTAGAAACCCCAATAATGACTTGGCTATTTATTAAGCGCCTGCTGGATGCTTGGAAAGGACGCCAGGAAAATGTCATTAAGATTCTTCAGTATCTTGAAAGGGAAACTAAGGCTAAGAGGGCGGAGCCTTGAGGAGTATGGAGAACACAAAGTAGCAGTTGGGACCGAGAGACGAAAAGTCCACCAAAGAGTCCTCAGTTCTCTTAACCCACCACCACCCAGCTGGCAGCTCTGAGGATGACGCAGATGGAGGTCTTAGGAGCAGATTGCTGGAGAATGCAGTAGCCGGGCCAGGCTGTCAGAAGGACACAAAACAGACCCTACCCCCATCTTCAGCCCTGCCTTGGGCCCAGCCCCCCAGCAGGCTGGGCCTAATTCTGTGCCTCTGACTCAGCTTCGGGTACACAGAGGCCCGGGGGCGTGAGCACTAACACTCCAGTCTGGCCCCCCAGGGGCCTCGCGCTGGGGCCCGAAATAGCTCATTTTGATCCCGCTACCTGGGCCAGGAGCCCGGGCCTGGCAAGAGGTGCAACAGCTGCTCTGCAGCAAGAGGGAAATTGTTGGATGACCATCAGGGCGGTCTGACTGGCCTGATGGAGGTTAGAAAGGAGAAAGAGTACCCGATTACCCTTTCAACGGGTAGAACACATTGGACTCGGGCGGGGAAGAACTTTCGGCTTCCACAAGAAGGGGCGGCGTGACAGCAGGACTGCAGGAAAATAAGAATTCTTTAGAGCGCCTCCAACTCCAAGCTCATTCCATTGGTCCACAGTCTTGCCAATTATTGCTGTACGCTCCAGGTTGTCCAATCAAACGCGCTCTCTCAAGCAGGCCAGCGTTATATGCAGTCGGAGACACCTCCCATTAGCCCCTTTCCAACTTTTATTTTCCTGTCTCTCATTGGTCGCCTTGGAGGCCGCTCTCTTCCAGAGCGGGCACTCCCAAAGAGGGGCGGGGCTGATGGAGCATTGCTAAGCGACAAGATGCGCACTGGGTTTGTCGGATGAAGAAGCGGAGCTGGCACAAGCGCCCCAGAGTAGCTGCAGGATGGACCGTGGGTGAGGCTGATTATTCTTCCCGAGATCACAAGAGGTTTGGGAAGGGCCGAGGGTGAGGGTAGCACCAGTTTATGCTACAGTCCAGAGTGTCGGGTTCAACCGCATTAAAACTACAACTTCCAAGATGCTCCACAGCCTTTGGCCGCCCCAGCCTTGGATTTCACAGTCCCCAGTATCCCTAAATGCCTTATGTTCTTTTCTCTGAGTACCTGTAAAGGATTATTTCCCTTAAGGTCTTCTAAGAAGACATGGAAATTGAGTTTTTAAATTTTGAAATTGCCCTAGACACCCAAGGGTGTTGTGTTTGAACTTTCTTAGTTAGGCGGAGCCTAGTGAATCATGGGAATTGTAGTCCATTTCCTAGTGTCCTCCAAGGGTTTATGGGAAATGTACGGTGTACGGTCTAGTCCCGGGTCTTTTGTTTTTGTTGTTCGTCTTTTGTTTGTGTTTTCTCTACCAGGTATGGGGTGGTTGGGGTGGGGGGGAACTCAGGTGTTTTAACCACCTGAGTTACAGTACCCAGTCTTTTTTTTTTTTTTTTTTTTTTTTTCGAGACAGGGTTTTGCTAAGTTGCAGAGGCTGGACTGGAACTTGCAGTCCTCCTGCCTGTAAGCACCACCATTCCCAGCCTAATCACGGTTCTTAACCGTGGGAAATGTTTAAGGAGATAGAAATTATAATTATCCTGATATGATCATTATACATTATCTACTTGTATTCAGTTATCACACTGTACCTCAAAATGTGTACAATTCGTGTAAAAAAAAAAAAATTAAAACAGGCCGCAGACCACATTTTGCCTTTGGGCTGCAGTTTTTAAAAAATTCACCTGGGACAATGGGAAAAAGATAGGATGCCTAGCCCCACTTCCTGATATTCTGATTCTGTCAGGAGTAGGAATGGCTTGTTTGTAATTTTAAACAAACCCCCACCCCCCTCCCACCCCCACCAAAAAGTGGATCCAGAATTGAGAACCACTAACAACTGGTTCCTAGGTTTTTCTGTGGCTCTCCAAAGGCTCATGGGACTTGTGGCTCCACTATCATTATCTTAAATGTGCATCAGTGCTTCATGGGAATTATAGTCCATCTCTTCCAGGAATCCATGAGAATTGTCTGTTCTGCCCTCTTCTTCCATGCTCTGCCTTCCAATCCCATTCTTTCCTTGCAGCCTGTCAGTTTTCTCCATCCAAGAAAGCCCCTTTGGAGATGCTTCCCTGGATGGAGGCCATGATTGGCCATCCCAAAGCCAGACCCGGCAACCCAAGGTGAGGACTGCCCACAGAGAGTAGTACCTCTAGTAGCGAGGGAAGGAAGGCTTATATGGAGAGATGAAGATGAGACATTAGGAGAAAGTCCCTCCTTACCTCCCCATAGCCTTCCCTTGTACAGCTCTTTACTGCTTATATCCCCCATTGTTCCCCCAATCACCTGAGGTTGCTAACAGTGATAATATTGTGGGATTTGCTTCCTCCCCTCTGAACTGAGACTTCACATGTATCTTTGTTCCCTACAGGAAAGACCCTTCGGACCTCACTTTTTTCTTTTTGTGTCCTCCCCTATCTTAGACTCTGAGCCCATCCAGGTCCCAGAGATCCAAGCTCCCACGAGCTCCCCAGGCTGCAGCCAACTCCCCTGAACTGTTGGAAGAGTCCTGGCCATCCAGTTCAGGGACCTCTTCCCCATCCAGCACCACTGAGAAGGCCTCTCCACCACCTACCCTGATTGACAGTGGGGACTCAGTGATGGCCAAGTAAGTACCAGAAACCCTGAAGGGAAAGGAGAGTTTGGGTCAGGGGGAGGGAGAAGGTAATAATCATCGCAGGCAGACTGTTTATACAGTGCTCTTATAGGGCCAGGTGCTTCATGTGTGTTATGGAGGGCTTTGAAGTTCAGCTGTGTGGGTTCAAGTCCCAGCTCTGTCACTTACTCTCTGTATGATCTTGGCCTCAGTTTTTTTTTTTAATCTTTAAATTGGGGATATTGATAGCACATACCCCTAGGGCTATTTTGAGCTTTCAGTGAGTTACTGTATCAAATGAACACTTGAATTTGTAGGTTAAGGATCAGCTGCTGTAATAAAGAGTCTAAATTAATTATGGCTTGAACAACTTTGCATTTATTTCTCCCTCATCTAATGGTCCAGGCAGAAGCAACATGGCTGATATGGCAGCCTCTGCTTGAGGTGTCAGAGATATGGGTCGCTTACTGCTGTTCCATCCCTGGACTGTGTTCTTTCCTTCATGGACCAAAATGGCTCCCAACTGAATCGACTTTCTAGAATTGCATCTCTTCATTTCATGTTTGTCAAGTATCTAGTCATGAGATCACAAGTCACATGGCAAATGTAGTCCTTAGAAGAAGTGACTACGTATCCAACAAAAATTGCATGGCTGGGCCCAGCGTATTGTAACTCAGTGTTAGAGCTCTTTCCTGGCATGCAGGAGACCCTGGGTTTGATTCCCAGCACTGCCAAATAAATAGATCAAATAAAATTAACACATAAGAAAGGAAAACAATTATTGAAAGACAACTACTTGCCTTTAGTGGTTAGATGGAAAGCAGGGTTTTGTTGGTTCTGTGGTGTTTGGGGTTTTTTTATATGTGTATGTGGTATTGGAGGTTGAATCCAGGTGTCATGCATACAAGGCAAGTTCTCTGTCACTGAGATACATGTCCATCCCATCTTTATTTTATTTTGAGACAGGGTGGCCTCAAACTTGGGATCCTCTTGTCACATCCTCCCAAATATCTGAGATTAAGGTGTGTGCCGCTACCATACCTAGCAAAAAGCAGGTTTGGTTTTTGTTTTTATGCTGGGGATTGAACCCAGAGGCATTGTACCACTGAGCTACATCTCCAGCCCTTTTTATTTTTATTCTTATTTTTATTTTCAGATAGGGTCTCACTAAATTGCTGAGTCTATCCTCAAACTTGAAATTCTCCTGCCTCAGCCTTTCAAGTCACTAGGATTATAGTCATGTGCCGCATGCCTAGCAGCTACCACTTGATTTTAGAATGAACATAGCTTAATCAGATTTTTTTCTTTTCCTTTTTTTATGTGTTCTTACATGACAGTAAAATGTATTTTGATGTTTCATTCATACATGGAGTCTAACTTCCCATTCTGTGGTTGTACATGATGTACAACCAGTTACTCTGGTTGTATATTCATATAGGAACATTGGGAAAGTTATGTCTGATTCATTCTACTCTTTCCCGTTTCCATCCCCTCTCCCTTCTTCTCACTCACCTCTGTCCAATCTGGTGAACCTACACACACACACACACACACACACACACACACACACACACCCCTATTGTGAGTCAGCATCCTCATATCAGAGAGATTATCCCGCTTTTGATTTTTTGGTATTGGCTTAATTCATTTATTGGGATAGTCTCCAATTCCATCCATTTACCAGCAGATACCATAATTTTATTCTTCTTTGTGACTGAGTAATATTCCATTGTATATATGTACCACATTTTCTTTATCCATTCATCTGTTGAAGGACACCTAGGTTTCATAGTTTAGCTATTGTGAATTGAGCTGCTATAACATTGATGTGTCTGTGTCGCTGTAGTGTGCTGATTTTAAGTCCTTTGAGTACAAACTGAGGTATGGGATAGCTGGGTCAAATGGTGGTTCCATTCCAAGTTTTCTGAGGAATCTCCATACTACTCTCATAGTGGTGGAAACCAATTTGAAGTCCCACCAGCAGTGTATGAGTGTACCTTTTCCTCCACATTCTCCCTGACATTTATTGTTACTTGTGTTCTTGATAATTGCGATTCTGACTAGAGTGAGATGAAATCTCAGTGTAGTTTTAATTTGCATTTCACTGATTGCTATGGTTGTTGAACATTTTTTTCATACATTTGTTGATCGATCTTATCTCTTCTATGTCTGTTCAGTTCCTTAGCCCTTTTAGTGATTGGGTTGTTTAGTTTTTTTGGTGTTTTTTTTTTTTTTTTTGAGTCCTTTATATACTGGAGATTAATGGTCTGTCTGAGATGCAGGTGGCAAAGATTTTCTCCCATTCTGTAGGCTCTGTCTTCATATTCTTGATTGTGTCCTTTGCTGTGAAGAAGTTTGATACCATCCCATTTATTGCTAATTGATTTTATTTCTTGGGCTTTAGGAGTCTTGTTGAGGACTATGGTTCCTAAGCTGACATGATGAAGATTTGGGCCTACTTTTTCTTCTATTAGGCACATTGCCTAGGTCCTTGATCCACTTTGAATTTTGTGTGGGGTGACAGTCAGGGTTCTAATTTCATTTTGTTACATATGGATTTCCAGTTTTCCCAGCACCATTTGTTGAAGAGGCTATCTTTTCTCCAATGTGTGTTTATGGGGCTGGGGATGTGGCTCAAGCGGTAGCGCGCTCGCCTGGCATGCGTGCGGCCCGGGTTCGATCCTCAGCACCACATACAAACAAAGATGTTGTGTCCGCCGAGAACTAAAGAATAAATATTAAAAAAAAAAAAAACAACAATGTGTGTTTATGGTACCTTTCCAGTGTGAGATAACTGTATTTTTGTGGGTGTTTCTCTGTGGCTGCTATTTTGTACCATTGGCCTTCATGTCTGTTTTGGTGCCAATACCATGCTGTTTTGTTACTATAGCTCTGTCGTATAAGTTAAGGTCTGGCATTGTGGTGCCTCTGAAAGAAGTTATTTTTTAATTTTTAATATTGTGGTACTGGAGATTTCACCAGTTTTTTAGCTCTCCTCACATCCCCTACCTCCCATCCTCTAATGCTTGCAGGTATATAAACAGGTTCCGCCAAGCTCAGCCCACAAGTCGAGAGGAACGCCAGCCTGTAGGCCCAACCCCTGATGACTTTTGGTGGCTTCGGCCAGAGTCTCCAGATCTCAGCAGTCAGCATGCAGCAGGTACCTCCTTGCGCCCATCCACCCCCAGCCTAAAATCCTTCCTGATCAATGACCCCAGCAACCACTCCTTCTGGCCCCTTCACTCAGTTGAGGTTTCTCAGCAGGAGCCCATGAACGGAAAGGAAAACTCAAAACAGCAATTCTCGCTCCCAAGGTGGCCAGCGCATCCCAGGCTGAGGCTCCACTTCAGGAAATAAAGCAGGTGACCTCCTCATTTACTCCCTCTTCTGTGTGCCTCAACTATCAGCACCAGTCCTGAGATAGAATTAAAGCCATTCCCCAATTCAAGGAAGCTTAAACCTTAAAAGGAAGATTTTTTTTTTWAAAAATTTTATTTTGTTGAGTGTAATTGCAAGCTCCAAAAGTAGATGCTTTTAGGTGTGGCCAGATCAAGGTGTTTTGGACAATATTAGGAGGAACTCAGCTTTTTTGGTTCTGTGTTCCTCTGCTGGGTTCTGTCTCAGGCAGGCTTTCCCCTCACAGTAGCCAACATGGCCTCCAGCAGCTTAGGCTTCTGAGTACTAACTCAGCGACTTTAATGGAGAGTGGAGCTTTTCCATTAGCTCCATCCCAAACCCCAGGACTCTCTCTTATTCCCCCATCCTAAATCAATTGCTGTGAACCAGAGGATAGAATGCTTTATTTAGTCAGGTTCTCTCAGGAAAGTTGGTTCAATCCTTCAACAGTAGTGACTTGCAAATGAAGGGTGTGGATCCAAGAGGAAAACTGGGTCTCCATTCCCTGAGGAAATTGTAAGCTGCCACGTGAGGTACCAGGTGGAGTAGAAACCTGCACTTGAGCCCTCTGTCCAGAGCCCTTTTCCCAGCAGCCTTTGTGGTGGGGAGTAGCCTCTGACCCCTCTCATCCCACAGAGGCTCAACACATGGAGCTCGTCGCTGCTGGACCTGGAGACGCTAAGCCTGCAGAGCAGAGCTACCAGGCTGCTCAAACGCAGGTGCTTCCCCTACCTCCTCACCCTTCCCACTGCTCCAGCCACAGCCAAGCGCACTGCCTGGGCGACATCCAGTGCCTCACTTCTGCCTTCCCCTTGCAGCAAGACCTCCATCTCCTCCTCCTCCTCCTCCTCCCTCAGCCCCAGTGATGCCAGCAGTTCCTCCTTCCCAGTCAGCTCAGATGGCCTCTCTCCCTTTTCTATGACCGTCATCCCTGACGCCAGCAAGGGCTCTGGCTCCAGAGCACCTGGTAAGTGGTGAGAGGCAAGGATTGAGGGCAGCCTGGGTTCAAATCCCATCTCTGCTGCTTACCCGCTGTGTGACCTTGTCCTCTCTGGGCCTTGTTTCCCCAACTGTGAAATAGTAGTGACAGTTTGATCCCTCTCCTCCAGGTGTGGTGAGGATGAATTGAGTTCACTTAGCACAAGTCTGTCAACAGGAGCTGTCATAGCTGGGTATGGGGGTGCACACCTGTAATCTCAGCAATTTGGGAATCTGAGACAAGAGAATTGCAGGTTCAAGGCCAGCCTGGGCAACTTAGTTGAGACTCTGCCTCAAAATTTTAAAAAGGGCTGGGGATATAGCTCAATGTAAAGCACCCCTGAGTTCCATGCCCAGTACCAAAAACAAAACAAAGCAGGAGTTGTCATGAGTGTGAGAGACCTAATGTTCTTTCTGCAGTGCGGAACACAAGCTCCAGTATCAGGCGGCTTTTTGCAGATTCGGTACCACATTGGTTTAACAACAGAATCTGACCTATGAGGCTATTTGTAGTCTGTATTGATCACATTTAGCGTTAACACTATACATAATTCTTGGTGAATGTATATTACATTGAACCATAGGGAATTTTCATTTTTATAAATAAAAGATAGGTGAATATTGCCATTCTGTATGGTTCCACTATATTTCTTTTTTGGGGAGGGAGGATACGAGGGATTTAACCCAGGGATGTTTTACCCCATTGAGTTAAATTCCCAACCCTTTTTATTTTTTATTTTGAGACAGGGTCTTGACAAGTTGCCTAGGTCCTCACTAAGTTGCCAAGGTAGGCCTCAAACTCAGTCCTCCTGCCTCAGACTCCCAAGTCACGCTCCAGTGTCTGGCTTGGTTCCACTATATGTCAATATGTTTGAGTCTGATGTATTGCCTCAGACCCATGTCAATGCTATACATATATCATGCAATTTGGCTAAAGTATGCAAACTTTGGAACTCCAGATCAATTTCAGAGATGGGATGATAGACCTAGGTTACTATTACTACTGTCCCGATTGTTACTGTTACTTTGTGCTCAGAATGCTATCTTGGTCTTACAGGGGTCCCCTGATTGGGTACAAGTAAGCAGAAGTTAACAGAGGTGTTCATGCATGTTGTATGATCCTACCCAGGGACTCACCTATCCAGTTCTTCACTCTTTCTAAGCTTTGTCTTTTATTCATCTCTCCCTCCTGAGCCTCAGTTTTCTCATTTGTAAAATGGGGATAAAATTAGTACCTTCTTCATAAGTTATTTTGCAGTTAAATTTATTCAACTCATTTACATATTGAATCCTACCATGTTTGAGGCTCTGTGAATAGGACTGAGGATTTCATAACAAACTATGAATACATGGTACCTCCTTCAAAACCTTTACGGCATAGTGGATGTGGGACAGAGAATCACCACATAACCCTCCCATATATAAGTAAAACATGCAGAAATGAAGGATAGGCAGGAGAGTACTGTGGAACTAGAAGTCAGGGAGGGCTTCCAGAAAGTGCTAGCTAAGTGGAAACCTAGATGAGGAAGGTGAGATGAACAGAGCCTTCTAGCATATACAACTGACTGAAGTGAGAGGGAGCGTGGTGCAGACAATAGACCAGAAAAGGCAAGAGCCAGGATCAGACTAGCATAGGAGGGAGAGATTGGCAGGGCACCTCGAATGCTGGGCCTTGGAGGCATGGGGAGGCATCTGGTTGTAATGTTTAGATTGGAGATCCTCAAGAGAGGTTGGAGCATGGAGAGGATGAACTTTCTTGGGTGTTAGCAGACTTCCTCTGGCTTCTGTCTATATCCAGTGAGAGAAGCTGCTGGTTTGAAGTGGGCCAGAACTGAAGAGTGCAGTGGAGGGAAGTGTCCAGGTTAAAAGTAGAATTGCAGGATGTAGTAGGGGTGATGGGGGTGGTTCCTCCGCTCTCTGTGCAGCATCAAATGATAGGGCTTCTGAGAGATCATGGTAGCTCTACTGATAGGACAAATGAAATTATGCCCAGGGTGGTAGAAATAATGTCTGTTTGCCCAGTGGAACAAAAATACCCCCTGGCCCCCCCCTTTTTTTAGGTATAATTAGCTTGCTGGCAAGCAAACCTTATTTATTTATTTATTTATTTACTTTAGTTGTAAGTGGACACAACTACTTTTATTTTTATGTGGTGCTGAGGATCGAACTTGGTGCCTCTCGTGTGCCAGGCAGGTGCTCTACCACTGAGCTCCAGTCCCAGCCCCCTGGCCCTGTCCTTAATCATTACCATTTCCCCAGTACATAGTTGGGGACTGGGACAGGGCACAATAAACAGTTCTTTTTGCATCGTGTCTCAAATATTGATTGCACCGAGCTCTATTCTTCACAGTAGGGCAAGGGTAATGGACAAGACAGACAGAAATCGCTCTCCTTGCATAACTGGCATTGTGGAAGGAGAGACAAACCATAATTAAGCTAGAAAATACCATTCAGTATGTTAGAAGAGGGTAAGTGAAAGGAGAAAAATGAAATAGGACAGAGGACAGGGAATAATAGGGCTGGTGGTTGTTGCACTTTTGAATAGGGTAGTCGGGGAAGGTCTCACTAAGAAGGTAACATTTGGACAAGACACAGAGCAGGAGAGGGAATGAAGCATGTGATACATGAGGGAAGACCAGTCCAGACAGAGGGAACCACCAGCACTCAGTGGCCTTTGCCTTTGACCAATAGGGAGGTACAGCCAGGGGAGTGTTCATAACCAGGAAGGCCCTGGATACTCAGGTATTCACAACCTGCCTCTGGCTGTGAGTCTGGCACAGATTGGGAGGACAGGAGAGCAGGGGGCTCAGGCAGGAGCCTGTGGCAGTCACTATGATAGTCCAGGTGGGGTGAGTGGGGCTGGACCAGGGTGAGGGCAAAGGAACTGTTCAGTGCTGTAACCCCCATATCCAGAACACATCTGCGTGGCATGTAGTAAAAGCTCAGTAAATATTCATTGGATGATTGAAGAACTGAAAAATGATGGATGGCTCTCTCCTCTGACCTTGCCCCCTCCCCACTTCCCACTCCAGAGAGGAGCTGGCATTACTGAACAGCCTGTCTGAACAATCTTCTGGCACAGAGAAGAGTGTCTGCACAGGCTGTTGTTTGGTGGCTGATCACCTGACTCCTACCTCTCCTCTGTTTCCCTCACAGCAGCCCCGGTACCAGCCCAGGCCCCTACCCCTGCTCCAGCCCCAGCCCCAGCCCCAGTCCTCGCCTCCCCCCAAGAACCCCTTCGGCCAGAGGATGACATTTTGTACCAGTGGCGGCAGCGGCGGAAGCTTGAACAGGCCCGAGGAGGTGAGGGGGATGGAACCTGGGTGCTGCCCCGGACCCAAGCCCTCGGCACTCGGGTGAGTTGGAGGAAGGGGGAGACAGGGGATTGTAGGACCCTCTACCCTCTTCCCCACCCTCTCACACCCCTCTTCCCATCTGTCTACAGCCCTCTCCTACCCCTGCTGTGACAACCCAGCCTAACTGTGTCCCCATGGGAGGCAGTGTGGCCCAGCCTGGTCCCCACGAGGCCTTGTATGTGGAGAGGCCTCCTGTTCCCCCAGGGTCCTCTCCACACATCATCTGGGCCCCCAGCCCCTATAGCTTCTTCTGGGCTCCACAGTCCAGCCCCTGGGTATCTGTTGGGACCGTTCCTCCCACGCTGCTGGCTGCCACACAGGCTCCCTTGGCCTCTACCCTAGCTACCCCCGTTCCCACTCCGGTACCCTCAGCCTCCATCCCAGTGCCCTCAGCCTCCACCTTGGCTCCCCTGGCCTCCACTCCCACGCCCCCCACTACCCTCCAGGGCCCGGGCCCTCCCTCCCCTGAGCCAAGCAGCCCTGCCCAGCAAGAGAAGCTGGGCCCCAAACCTCGGAGGTCCAGAGCTCTGCGCCCAGAAGTCTCTGGCGAGGGGCCTGACCTGCAGCTCAGGGGCGCCTTGGGTCAAGTAGTGACAGCTCGGCTGTTCCCTGACTTCCTGGAAGACACACCCCCTCGCCTTGAGGGCCCGCCTCCAGCGGCCACTGAATCTCAAAAAGGCAAAGTCACACACCCACAAGCCAAGGTTTCGCCCCCTTGCCCAGAGGTCACGCCCGCTCCCTCTGACCCTCACTGTCGGTCAAGGGCCCAGGCTCGCAAAGCCAAGGCCACGCCTGCTCCAGCGGGGTCAGTGCTTCAGAAAGTTAAAGCCACTTGCTCTGCTGAAGCCGAGTGTCCACAGCCCAAGGCCCCACCGCCTCCAACTGAGGAGGCGTCCACACTCCCCAAGGCTCCGCCCCTAGAGTTCAAGGCGGGGCCTCTTGAGGCCATGGCCACGCCCCCACCAGGGGACCCTCAGCCCCCAGCAGAGGACTTGCTCTCCCAGGCCGCGCGACTTCTGGAAGCTGCAGAAGGTGAGCGCGTTGCTGGGGCCTCTGGGATCTTGGCGTCTGCCTCCTTGGAGTCCTGCGCCCCRGAACTCACTCTTTACCCATCCACCCAGACTCAGATGGCAGCGAGTTCCAGGACGACCCCGTGCTGCGGGTGCTAAGAGCTCAGAGGGCAGAGCTGAGGCTGCAGAAGAGGTAACTCTCCGTCACTGGGATCTGTGACACTGAACCCCTGAGTCCTCTGAGACCCGGGCTGGGTACCCGACCCCCACCCCATCTACATTCCCAGAACCTCATCCACTGTCCCAGACCTGATCCTTGATCCTGAGCTGCCTCTACTTCGCCTTCTCCAGGAAAGTGGATGCCCAATTATCCATCCTGTTGGACCATGCTGAAGACCCAGGATCGTGGTTGCCTCCAGCCAGGTCACCCGCAACATCATCCCCACGGAGGCGGCTGCGCAGGGAAGGAGTCTCTCTTGAAGCTAGACGACTTTGAATTGTATATGATCTATTTTTCCCAATGAAACTTGTTTTTCCAGGTTCCTCTTTGTCTCTGAGTAATGGATTATTGTGAAATGGCCAAGGGTTGTGCCAATTTAAGGAAATGTCCCTCCCTCTCTATTCTGACCACTGAATCAAAATTTATTTTCTGGGCTGGGGAAGTCTGGGCAAGTCTGAGACCTAATTTATCTGACTTCAACTCAGGAGTGGATCTTTTTGACTCAGGTGGACAAAGGGACTGTCCTCTAGGTATGAAGCTAACTAGGGTCACCCAAGCATTGACCAGTAGTCGATATCCTGCTTGTGTCAGCCACAGCCTTTTATGCAAGGGATCCTTCCCTCCTTGAAGCACTTCTTCCTCTGCTTCCAGAACCTTCTCATTACCTGTTGGCTCTTGCCTCTTTATTGCCCCAACGTCTCAACTTTGGTGTCTCCCAAGGCCCTGGCTTTGACTTACCTATCTACACTCTCTCCTAGGTGCTCTTGTCTAGCCTAATGGCCATACACTCCATCAATATTCTGATAGCCCCTAAGTTTCTATCTCTGGCCTAGAATTGTGTTTCTACATTGCGTTGCCTGCTCAACATCTCCACCCAAAGGTCTAAGAGACTTCTCCAATTCCATAGGTCCTCAAATTCCTGAGCTCCCAGCCTCCCCGCTAAACTTGCCTGTCTTTTTCCTCAGCTCTGTCCTTTTAGTTGACAAGCCAAAGCCTTATAGTTGACCTTGACTCTTCTTTCCCTTCCACCTACAGTCAGWCAGAAAATTCTGTCATTTCTAGCTTTAAAATTGTCCAAAATTTAACCCTCTTCTTCCACGGCCCTCACCTCAATCTAGGCTGTCACCACCTCCTACCTGGACTATTGAAAACTTATTATTAAACATGTTGGGGCTGAGGTGGTGCTCAGTGGTAGAGGACTCACCTAGTACCTGTGAGGCACTGGGGTCAATCCTCAGCACCACATGAAAATAAACAAAAGTATACATACATAGAGTATAAGTTTAAAAAAAAATGTGTATTTTTTTTCGGGGGGCAGGTACCAGGGATTGAACTGAGGGGCACTTAACCACTGAGCAACATCCCCATCCCCTTTTTATGTTTTTATTTTGAGACAGGATTTCACTAAGTCCTTAGAGCTTTGMTTAAGTTGCTGAGGTTGGTCTGGAACTTGTGATCCTCCTGCCTCAGCCTTCTAAGTCACTGAGATTATAGGCATGTGCCACCACATCTGGCTTATGTGTTCTTTGATACACTTGCCAGGAGGTAGTCTACATTCCTTCCCTTTGAAACAGCCACTCAACCAATAGAGTACAGAGGAAAGGATGCAGCTTAATTTCCAAAACTCAGAAAAGATGATATCATCCATTTAGTTTCCTTTGGCTCCCTCTCTGATCCTTGTTTTAGAGTCCATGTTTAAAAAAATAAACCAAACTGATTTACCATGCTGGGGATGGATTACACACTTATCAAACTCAGTGAGTTTTATTGTAGGTACAGATTTACCACAAAAGAAAAATAAAGATATGTGTGCTTAAATATTTAGGGGACAGTATACCAACCTATGCAATTAGTTTTAAAATGCATCAAAGATTAATTGAATTGATGAATGAATAAAGTAACAGATGTGAGATAAGACAAATAAAATGAAATGTTAATGGCAAGATCTAACTGGATATTTGGATGTCCTCTAAAATTTTTCAATTTGCTATAAGAAACTTTTTATAATAAAATGATGGAGAATATATGACCAAGATTGTTATATCTGTCTATAAAAAATAAAAGGTGGGTTAGGATGGATTTCTAACAGCAGCTCTGTGTGTCAGAAACATGATTTCCTGACTTTCTGAACAAACCATACATTTAAGGGAAATAAACAAGAGGATAATAGCTGTTTAGACATAAGGAGAAATAAAGAGATGTTTATAGTAGCAGAACCTGGTCTAGTTGAGCAAGAGAGCTGATTTGTAAAGAAATACACTTAAGTTGAGCCACTTAAGAATTAGCTAATTCACAAGGGACCACCATAATTACTACTGCTGGGTAAAAAACTAACCCCAAATTTTAGTGGCATAACACAATCATTTCATTATACTCATGTATTCTGTGAGTCTGGAAATTTGGAGAGGACAAAGCTGGGAATAGTTTATCTCTGCTCTCTTCCCATGAAACTCAAGAGGTGGCTTAACAGCTATGGGGCGGAATCCTTTGGAACTTCTTCATTGACAATCTGGCACCACATCAGGGCTCAGAAAACTTAAAGACTAGACTCATCTGGGACTGTTGACTGTAATGCTCATACGTCCTCTCTCCATTGATTTGGACTTCCTCAAATATGGCTGCCTCAACATAGTCACACTTCTCAACAGGATACTTCAGGTTCTTTGTGTGTGTCACTGGCGATTCAACCTGGGCCAGCACTGATCTACATCCCCAGGCCAGCCTTGGTCCATTTTTTAGACTGTCTCATTAAATTACCTAGCCTGGCCTCAGACTTGTAATCCTTCTGTCTTGGCTTCTCCAGTGGCTGGGATCACTGGTTTGCACAACTGTGCCCGGCTGTTTTAAAATATTTGTAAAATATTGTCTTTTCCCGTCAGCTTTGAGTTCCAATGTGGATAGGGTATATTTTCCCGTTTTGATTGTTGATGTATTCACAAAATTGGTCGGAGTTTTTTATGGAATGAGTGAGTGAATAAACCAACGTATGCTCTCTTGAGGTGAAGGCTCTTCTGAGGGTATGACCAACGACAGCGTCCTCTTGGAAAGAGCATTGTTACAGAGTGTTTCCTGGTCATGGCTCAATCTGTTGTAGGAATAATTGAGAATGGCTTTATGGGAGGCAAGATCATGTTCCAGCATTTGGGGTTAAACCTTTCTCCAGGACAAAGGAGTCGAGGATGCTTGTAATAAGCAGTAGAAGGGGAGACGAGGAAAATGTCCAGTGGGTACGCCGAAGGCAAGTCGTAGAGGACTGAAGATTTTATCCCACGCAGGGTGTGCGAGGCAATAAAAAAAAAAAAGAAAGTGGGTGGAGCGCCCTCCTGATTCCGTGGGTGGGGTCAGGGTCTGGACTGACAAGGTGGGAGTCGAGGACCTAAGCTTTGAAAAGCTGCTCGAGGACTGGACCCAAACCCTAAGGCCGTGGGAGAATCCAATTAAGAATGTCGGAGTAGTGATCACTGAGAGTCAAGAGGACCGTCTATTGCTTAATATTAGAAATGTCGGAAGCAAAGGATAAAGAACCTGGGGGTGTGTCTCAGGAGGAGGATGACAGCCAATAAAAAGCAGTCATGGGCGTGGCGCTGTCAAACTTCGGGGGTGGGATCGAGGAGAGACAGAGCCGGGGGTGGTACCCAAGACAAAGCCAATGAAAAAACTCCAGGTGGGCGTGGCGTCGCCAAAAGGCCAAGGGTGGGGCCAATGAGAAGCGGCGCCGCGTCCCCGTTATCCCCCCGCCCCCGTGGGGCGCGCGCTGAAACCACCGGCGGCCGTTAGGGGCGGGGTCTGCAGCCGCCCGCGCGCGGCTCGCGCCCTCCCCTTTGTGTCGCCATGGCGGCGGCGGCTGCGGCGACGAGGACCATGAACCAGAGGTCTAGCGCGGCCGGGGCCTGACGGAGGCTACGCGACTATGGTGGTGAGGGGCCCACGCGGCCGTCAGTCTGTCGGTCCGCGTGTCACTCTGTCCGTGCGCGGCCCCTCCCTGCGCGCCCCGCCCCTGGCCCCGCCCGGACCCTCGGCCTGCGCCGCCCCTCACCCTTCGTCGCGATCCCTCTAGTCCCCAGGCCAGGTCCTGAGTCCGACCCCTTACCTCGACCCCGCCCCCTCCGCGCATCCCTCTCCGCGCCCTAAATGGGGCTGACAGTGGCCGAGGACCCAGGCTTTCGAGGAGGGACTGGTCCAGGGAAGGACCCGCGCCACGCGAGTGGCCCCCGCAGGGGTCTGCTGAGACTCCCTGGAAACCAGTCTCCATTCCAGCGCCTTCCTCGGCATCCTCATCCACACCCTCACTCCCCCCTGGTCTAGCCCCCTCCTCCTCCCAACAGCCCCTTTCTCATTCCTGAGCCCCACCCCCACCGGCTTCATCCTCAGCCTGACCCTTTTCTTCTCCTTCTCCCTCATTTTCACCCCCATCTCAGCTCCTCTCAATCCCCCGCCCCCCATCTGTCAGAACCCTTACCTTAGCCTTTCCAGCCGCTCCCCTCCTTACTCCACCCAACAAGCCAGTACTGTACCTCCCCTTGATCCTTGGGTCCTCTCCATCTTCTTGTGCTCATCTCCCCTCCTCCACTGGCTCCCTCTCCCACCACTCATCCATTCATCCATTTGTACCTCATTCCCTCACTCAACAGACATGCTCCAGGCACAGAGAGAGTCAGATCCCATCCTGCCTTGGGGAGCTTCATGGGCTGGCAGGGGACAGACCCTGAGGGTGAGACCCAGGGATGAACTCCGGGTTGCAGGGACATGGAGGAGGGAGAAGCTGGAGCCCAATGTGGGGAATCCCTGAATTCCCATCTGGTAGTTGGCTAATTTATTCATCAGGTTTTACCTAGCCCATGCTGTACAATGGGGCTGGCACTGGGCATTGCAGACCCAGAGAGGAATGCAGAATGATCTTCTCTATGAAGAGTAGCAACTGTGCCCACCTCTGTGCTGGGCGTGCTGGGGTGTCTCATCCTGGGGCCCTGTTTCTGGGGAGATAAAAAGTCCAGTGGGGGAGATGGGCTTGTCACCAGATAGTGGCATCTCAGGAGTGCTCATGGCTATGATGGGACAAAGTCAGGTAAAGTTGTGGAGTTTGGGATTGGAGGACTTCAGAGGATGGAGAGAGTCTAGAAAAGATGCCTGGCACAGCCTAAAAGATCAAGAAAGGCTTTCTGGAGTAGTACACATGTGAGTTGAGGCCTGAGGGGTGAGGAGAGGACCTAATGATAGGGTAGGGACAAAGGTTCCAGGCTGAGGAAATAGCATGTGCAAAAGCATAGAAAGAAATGAGAAGAAGGTGGTGCTTTTGTTGGACTCTCAGAAGTTCAAGAGCTCTGAGAGTAGGGACAATGGGGAGAGACAGGACTGGAGAGGTAAACAGAAACCAATTTAGAGAAGTTTGAATATCAGACCAGAGACTTCCAACTTCATCTTGAAGACAGCAGAAAGCCACTGAAGGTCCAGGATCTATGGATAGACAGGGCCAAATTTGGGTGATCCTAGCACTTGTGAAGAATCTGGAAGGGAGGGAGAGGTTGGAAGCAGAGGACTGACAAGATGTGAACTGTGAATGTCCAGAGTGTGGCAGGAGATAACTGTACCCTGCAGAGGCTCCTGAAGGGTCTTAAACAGGGAGAGCTGAGCCCACCCTGCTCTCTCTCCTGTTGATGACTCATGCCTTGGCCCCTGTTCCTCTAGTCCTCCACTCTAGACCACACATGAAGAAGCCTATCCTCAGTCCAGTCCTTACCTCCTGGTGACCTACCATTTTGCCCCATGCTCAGGAAAACGTGGAGCAAGGAGCAATCTGGGCCTGTAGGTCCAGGCTGGCAGATAACAATGCTCCTTTTGTCTGTTTGCTCCCATCTCTGGGAGCCTCTGATTCTTCTCTCTGCTCTACAGGCCCGCAGCACTGACAGCTTGGATGGCTCAGGGGAAGGCACGGTGCAACCTGTACCCCCAACTGGGGGGCCCAATGTGAAGGGGAAGCCTGGGAAGAGGTGAGGGGTGATGGAGGAAAAGGTTTAGCTTAGGAGGAAGGGAAGCTTAAAGAGGGAGGGAGCCTGAAGGAGGGAGTCATTGGTGATGTGTCACCTTCTCCCAGGCTCTCAGCTCCTCGAGGTCCCTTCCCCCGCCTGGCTGACTGTGCCCATTTCCACTATGAGAACGTTGACTTTGGCCACATTCAGGTATGGGGTCTTTGCATCCAGGTAGGAAGGTGAGATCCTACCCAAACATGAACCAATATCAACTGCTTTATCACTGAAGTCTGTTACTATACTAGCTGCTCCTCCTGTCTGAGCAGTCAGTAGCAGGAGTTGCAGGGGCTAGGGCAGATGGGGAGAGCTGCTCATTTGTTCATCCAATTGTTATTTGACTTATTCATTCACTGATTTTTTTCTTAGTTATCTGTTCTGTACCAGAGCCCTATACTCTGACCAAAAGATCACTAAGTCCTATCCTTGGGAAGGTTCAGGAGGATGACACAGACCCATCCCGAGATAGTGCCAATTTAGAGAGGTCAGGATTGAGACAAAAGTGTGGCCTTCATGTGGGCCTTTGTTTCCCTCTGCAGCTCCTCCTATCTCCAGAACGTGAAGGCCCCAGCCTCTCTGGAGAGAATGAGCTGGTGTTTGGGGTGCAGGTGACCTGTCAGGTAAAGCCACCCTTGCTTTTCATGTAGCCTAAGGAACTGGCCGCCATGGTCCTGCTCAATGTAATGGGACCACTGTTCTCTTCTGTCCCTCTTGCTCCAACAGGGCCGTTCTTGGCCAGTTCTCCGTAGTTATGATGACTTCCGTTCCCTGGATGCCCATCTCCATAGGTGCATATTTGACCGAAGGTTTTCCTGCCTCCCAGAGCTCCCCCCACCCCCGGAGGGTGCCAGGGCAGCTCAGGTAACATACTTGTTGTCTCAGCCCCTGCCTCAGCCATTGGTGTGTCTTCACTAGGCATGAGTGAAATCACCATGGTGGGGGGATAGATACATATTTAAAGATTGGTATGGTCTGAGTCCCAACCAATCAGAGTGGAGAAGCCTTAGAAATATAAAAGGGTTCTGGAGGCTTCCTTTAGTTTTGGGATTGTGGGAAGGTCCAGAGATTCCACAGGAGGGTTAGCATAGCCATATCAATTTCGCACTGGAGCTTAGCACAGCTTGTTTACCAATTGATGTGACAATATTTCAACACCCATGCATCCAGGTTGAATTTTGATCCTACCCAGAGATGAGCCAGGGCAGTGTGGGAGGGCAGAGGCTCTCTCAGCATCTGTTCACAGGAGCCTACCCTTACAACCTGCCCACAGATGCTGGTACCACTGCTGCTACAGTACCTGGAGACCCTATCAGGACTGGTGGACAGTAACCTCAACTGTGGGCCTGTGCTCACCTGGATGGAGGTGGGCATGGGCAGGGGGGCTTGGAATTAGGAGAAAGCTAGGGTGTCTGAGGTGTGAGAACCAGCTGGGAGTGTGTGTGGGCACAGAAAAGAAAGGAGCCAGAGTGAGGGAAGCGTTGGTATTTTAGTGTCTATGTGGGCGCCTGTGAGAGAAGTATGTGTCTATGCATGTCTGTGTTTTAGCAGGTGTTGGACTATGGGCACCTGAGCATTTAAAGGTATCCCAGTTAGAAATGGATTGGGCTGTAACTCAAAGAACACCTGGTTTAAAACCAGAGGGGTTTTAGATAGTAAAAACACTCCAGGTGCTGGAGTATGTGGCGAGGTCTTGGGGTCAGAAGAGTCCTGGGACTTGTCAAGTGTGAGAAAAGGGAGAATCGTTTTAAAGGCAGGGGGCAGGAATTTAGGTGATTGACCAATAGCTCTGAATGACAGAGGCTCTTAAGTCGGGGGACAAGCAGTGACATCACTGCTTTATTAACTTTATTAACTCTTTCTTTATTAACTCTTTCTTCTGACCTCTCCTTGCTACATCTTACCTCCCTCTCAGCTGGACAATCACGGCCGGCGACTGCTCCTCAGCGAGGAGGCCTCACTCAATATCCCTGCGGTGGCTGCTGCCCATGTGGTCAAACGGTACACAGCTCAGGCACCAGATGAGTTATCCTTTGAGGTGAGGCTGTGGGCAAGCAGGCTCCAACTGGGATCCCCACTTCCCCTGCCCCTTCTGACCTCCCTACTCCCACTTGCCCATTTCTAGGTAGGAGACATTGTCTCAGTGATTGACATGCCACCCACAGAGGATCGGAGCTGGTGGCGAGGCAAGCGAGGTTTCCAGGTGAGCCTGGCTTATTTTGGACATCTGGGTCTAGGGTGCCATGCCAAGTTAGATGGCCCAGCCACTGACAGTGCCTCCTCCTCAGGTTGGCTTCTTCCCCAGTGAGTGTGTAGAACTCTTCACAGAGCGGCAGGGTCCAGGCCTAAAAGCAGGTAAGTGCCGTGGACAGAGTGGGAGGCCCCCCGCATCCTCTGCCTACCATCCATCCTTTCCACCCATTGTCCACCCCGCAGATGCTGATGGTCCCCTGTGTGGCATCCCAGCTCCCCAGGGTATCTCCTCTCTGACCTCAGGTAATGGAAACCAGGGGTCAGGTCTGTTCCCCCTGCCCCACCAGGCTTATGACTGAGCTGACCCTACAGAGCCTTCCTTTCCCCTACAGCTGTACCTCGACCTCGTGGGAAGCTAGCTGGTCTCCTCCGAACCTTCATGCGCTCCCGCCCTTCTCGGCAGCGGTTGAGGCAGCGGGGAATCTTGCGGCAGAGAGTGTTTGGCTGTGACCTTGGAGAACACCTCAGCAACTCAGGCCAGGATGGTGAGAATTGGGTCCACCACCCCACCTCACCCCTCTTATCTAGAGTGCTACCTCCCAGCCCTGACTCTGTTGCTTCCCCCCAGTACCCCAAGTGCTACGCTGCTGCTCTGAGTTTATTGAGGCCCACGGAGTGGTGGATGGAATTTACAGGCTCTCAGGCGTGTCCTCCAACATCCAAAGACTGCGGTGAGCGCCCTCCACCAACCCCTTCCATAAGATTCACTGAGCTCTTCTCTAGTCCAGCCCTGTACTTTGTGCCAGGTTCATAGTTATGGGAATTTAGGAAGGCACAGAGAAGGGGTGAATAAAAGCTGGGGTCAGGGAGGGAGGGCTTCCTTGAGGAAGTGACACCCCAGCTAAGGCCTGAAAGGTGAGAGTAGAATTAGCATAAGCAGAGGGATTAACCTTCTCTGGGCACCTGCCACATACTGAGCACTAGTCCACACTAGTAATGGAGAACAAGACAGAAACCTCTGCCCTCACTGGGCTCACATACTAGAAGGAGAAAAGAGCAAAAAAAGAAAAAAATGATAAGAGTTTACTAGAAGGTGACAGATGCTTTGGAGAAGAATTGATTAGGGGTAAGGAGGATCAACCAGGAAGGAGGATTGCAGTTTTAGATAGTGTGGGCAGAGGCGCCTCATGGGGAAGAGCAGTGGAGGCGGTGAGGGAACAGGCCACGTGGATCTCCTGGGAAAAGCAGTCACAGTGGAGCAAGCAACCAGCACAGTGGGGATAGCAGCAGGTGATGGGGTGGAGATTGTTGGCAGTGTGTGCCCTGCCTTTTCGTGACTGTTAGGATTTAGGCTTTTATTCTGAGCCAGGGAGAACCACAGAAGGATTCTAAGCCAAGAAGAGTCAGCCTTCATAACAGTCTAGTAGTGGGAAGGAATGAGGATGGTGGCACACACCTGTAACTCAGGCTTCTGGGGAGGCTGAGACAGGAGGATAGCAAGTTTAAGGCCAGCCTGGGCAACTTAGTGAGATTTTGTCTTAAAATAAAAAAACGTGGGGCTGGGGATGTGGCTCAAGCTGTAGCGCGCTCGCCTGCCATGCGTGCGGCCCGGGTTCGATCCTCAGCACCATGTACAAACAAAGATGTTGTGTCCACCGAAAACTAAAAAATAAATAAATATTWAAAAAAAAAAAGTTAGGGGTTCAGTGGTAGAGTGCCCCTGGGTTCAATCCCCAGTATTGAAAAAACAAAATACAGCAAGGGAGGCCAGAGGCCATGAAGTGAGAGCTCAAAGCCCAAAGGAGCAGTGAGACCAGCAGGAGATTGTTCTACACAGGAGCTTCACCTTCTAGCACTGGGCCCCACCAGAGTTATGAGTAGGGGGTTGCTAGGATTTTATCTGCATTTTCCAGTGACTGCTTAAAGCCAGATGAATGACACAACTTCATGGTAGGAACATGGTTGCTCTGGAGTCAGCCTTCAGTAGCTATAGGCAGAGGTATCACAGACCAGAGCCTCAGTGTCCTCTTCTTTAAAATGGGGCACCCTTGTCTTTGCCACACAAGGTTTTTTTGGGGGGATTGTAAGGTTCTCTCTCTGGGTAGCTCAGCATTGGGCCTAGGGAAGACAGTTATATTCATCTGCGGGAACTTGGGGTAGGRCTAGGGGAATATGGCCAGGTGAGCCAGTTTGATCTGAACCTTCCTCCTCTGGATCTAATGACCTCAGGCATGAATTTGACAGTGAGAGGATCCCTGAACTGTCTGGCCCCGCCTTCCTTCAGGACATCCACAGCGTCTCCTCTCTCTGCAARCTCTATTTCCGAGAGCTGCCAAATCCCTTGCTCACCTACCAACTCTATGGGAAGTTCAGTGTGAGTAAGGGAGCTGGCAAGGTTGGAGGGTGCGGGGATGTGTCTGGCCCAGCCCCATCATGCCTGTCCACCATCTCAGGAGGCCATGTCAGTGCCTGGGGAGGAGGAACGCCTGGTTCGAGTCCATGATGTCATCCAGCAGCTGCCCCCACCACACTACAGGTAAACCGGGAGCACCAGGGAAGGACTGTGGTAGGTTCCAAGGGGGCTGAGGCTCAGCTGTCCCCCTCTGCTCCCTTTCTCAGGACTCTGGAGTACCTGCTGAGGCACTTGGCTCGAATGGCACGACATAGTGCCAACACCAGCATGCATGCCCGCAACCTGGCCATTGTCTGGGCACCCAACCTCCTACGGTAAACTGGCAGCTTACCAGCATGACCCTCTTCATATTTTTCAAGTAACTCCCATGTACCAGGCCCTGATGTTAGCACTTGCAATATAGAAGTGAGCAAGATCCTATCCTCTTGGGGCCCACATTCCCATGGAGGAAATGGACAATGAATCATCAAGAAGAAAAATACAATGTAATTTCTGATACCAAGAAGGAAGAGAGGAGTCAGGAAGGGAAGCGTACCAAGTCATGGCGGTTTGAAGTTTCTAGATAGAATGGCAGAGAAGGCTTATGTCTTTTCCTTTTTTTTTTTTTTTTTTTTTTTATGGTCAGCAGCAAGGTAAGCCCTGGCAGATCTGCTGCTAACCAAGACAGGTAAAATCTGTATCCTGAATCCTGGAGGAGTTCCATGTTCTGGGAAACATGCAAATAAGTAAAACAGGTGGTGCATCAAAAAAGGGCACAAAAAATATGGGAGAAATTAAACAGAAAAGAAAGACCAAGGGTTCAGAGAAGGAGGTCTACAATTTTAAATAAGGTGGGTGGGGAAGACTGCACTGAAAAGGTAAGATTTGAGTCAAGACCTATGTAGGGTGTGTGCAGTCTGGGAAGGAACAAGCCAAACAGAGGAGCAGTGAGTGCAAACAGAAGTTGGGATGGACCCTGATGTGTGGGAAGAACAGCAGGGAGGCCGGTGTGGCTGGAGCTGAATTGAGGAACTGAGGGGAGGTAAAGATGAGGTCAGAGAAGTAATCAGACCAGATAGAGGCGTGACTCACAGATCATTTGCTTTTAGCTGGAGKGTGGTGCAGCTGGGATGGGGCTCTGAACAGGGAAGGCCCTGATCTGACTCAGTTTTGTTCACAGGCTCCCTCTTGCTACAGGTAGGAATAGACTCTGGGGAYAGGGATAGGAACAGGAGGCCTGGGAGGAGGTGCTCTGATGTTCATGTGGAAGGGAACAGACTCTGGGCTAGTGTGTCAGTCAGCTTCCCATCACTGTAATGAAATACTGAGATGATTAACTTATAAAGAGAAAAGGTTTATTTTGGCTCACAGTTTTGGAGGTTTCAGTTCACAATCAATTGGCCCTGTTGCTTTGGCCAGTGGCRAAGCAACACATTATAGCACCTAATGGCCAGGACACCAAAAAAAAGTGAGGAGGGGACTAAGATCCCCAAATCCCCCTTAAAGTCATGCCTTCAATGACCTAAAGACCTCCCACTAGCTCCGCATCTTAAAAGTTTCACCACCACCCAATAAACACCACCTTGGGGACCTTATGGGGGACATTTGTGATCCAAACCATAGCAGCCAGGGTATAGTAGAGGGGAGAAGAGTTAGATTCTGGGTAGATTTTATAGGTGAAACCAACAGGTTTTGCTGACAGATTGGATGTGGGTATGAAGGAAAGAGAGGGGTCAAGTAGGGAAGCTTGGGGAAAGGCTGGGCACTCAGTTCCACATGTGATTAGTTCAGGAAAGTCTGAGGTGTTGAACAGACAGTCATTACTTCATTGGTTCCCCACACTAGAACCTGCCAGCCCAGGCTTTAGGCGCCTGCCCCCTTCTCTTCTCCCAGGTCCATGGAGCTGGAGTCAGTGGGGCTGGGTGGAGCAGCAGCCTTCCGGGAGGTTCGGGTACAGTCTGTGGTGGTGGAATTCCTGCTCACCCATGTGGAGGTCCTGTTCAGTGACACCTTCACCTCTGCTGGCCTTGACCCTGCAGGTATGCCCATCCTACCCTCTGATGTCTTGGCTACTGCCCACTCAACGTCAGGGCAGCAGTGGGAGGGCAGGTGGGCTCCAGCCCTATCCCTACCCCACTGARGCCGGACCTCCCTCCCAACTCCTTGAGGACCCCGCCCGGCCCATCCCTCTCCCTGCCCCCCCCCCCGCCCCCTCCTTCTCATTTCAGCTCCTACGCTCAGGATCCCCACTTCTTGGCCAGGACGCCGTTCTTCCTTCACCCCTTATAGCTCCTGGGGGCACTTGGGGCCATGGGTCTACCTGGGAGGAAGTGGGAGGTCCCCAGATTTGACCCTGCCTGGGCCCTGCCCAGACTCCCTGCCCTGCCCGGGACCCCAGCCCAGTCAGGATTCAGCTCGTCGGAGGGCCCTCTGGCCCGAGGTAACTGACCAGAGCCGCTGCCCTTGCTGGCTGCTGGGAGCTGCCTTCTCATCAGCTCGTTCTGCCTCACCTCTCCTCCTCGCCTGCCTGCTGCCCCACCCCCATTCCCTCCTAATCCACCCTGGCCCCCTGCCTTGCCAGCCCGGGTGGGCATGCTGCGGGCTGGGGCTTGGGCTGTGGCGCTTGGCTTTGCCTGTAGCCTTAAGTGACCCCCAAGCTGATAGTTTCCCCCTTTCTGACCTCCCCAGGCCGCTGCCTCCTCCCCAGGCCCAAGTCTCTTGCGGGCAGTGGCCCCTCCACTCGCCTGCTGACACTGGAGGAAGCTCAGGCTCGCACCCAGGGTCGGCTGGGAACACCCACTGAGCCCACAGCTCCCAAGGCCCCCGCCTCACCTGTGGAAAGGTGAGTGGGATTTTGGGTAAATGAGGAGGAGGACTGGAGGTGCACCGTGACTCAGATTGCCTTTTGTTTCTCACCCAAACCCCAGGAGGAAAAGGGACAGAGGTGAGAAACAGCGGAAGCCAGGGGGTAGCAGCTGGAAGACATTCTTTGCTCTAGGCCGGGGCCCCAGTGTCCCCCGAAAGAAGCCCCTGCCTTGGCTAGGGGGTACCAGAGCCCCACCGCAGCCTTCAGGTCAGTGGCTGTGGCTGTGCAGTTGGCACGGGGGGTGGGGGATGGTGTGTGGAGGCCCTCCTACCTCTCCTACCTCTCCTCACAGGCAGTCGACCCGACACAGTCACACTGAGATCTGCCAAGAGTGAAGAGTCTCTGTCATCCCAGGCCAGCGGTGCTGGTGAGCAGGGGGTAGGCCCTACATGTGCCCAAGCATCATAGGGGAACTGAAGCCCCAGTTTTGTCCCCAAAAGTTATATTTCAGATTTGGGAGGATTCTTGAATGTTTAAATTTTTAAAATCTGAACTTTAGGTACAATGAATTGGCTAAAATCCACTATACACTCTGCCTCCTGGCTCATCCAGTTTCCTTTAAAACAGTCTTTTGTTTATGCATTCCTTTTCAAAAAATTTAAATATTATGAATACCCACMAACTCCCTAAGCACAGCTAGAAGAGCCCTAGTATCTTGCCCAGGAGTCCCTTCCCTCTCCCCCATCATCTAAATTTGATGCTGATCATGAACTTGTTTCAAGGTTTTATCACATACAAGTATATGTGTAAAGAACATATTGCTCAGTTCTGATGCTATTTACAGGAAATGTTAAGAAAGGGACGAGGAGGTATCATGCTGTCTACAGAATGAATTTTTCATTCACAACTCCGTTACGAACTGCCATCGTGTTGCTGAGCATAGCCCAGATTCAGCCCATTGCTTTCTATTCTGGGGTGGTGTCCCATCCTAAATCCCCAGGGTGAGGAATCCCTGTCATAGGTTGCTGTGCCACATTCCCAGGAGTAGAGGTGCTCTACTGTAGGGTCTGCACACATTGAAATTACAGGACAAGGGTGACTTGCTTTCCCCAAACAGTCCCATCTGGACGCCCAGCAGCTCACAGACCCTGGGGCAGCAAGACTCCATTCTTGTTTGGGATCTGGAGTGGTCTCTTCGTGGTCTTGCCTGATCAATTCTTCCTAAATCCACGGCCTCGTTGGCCCTCTCTAGGGAGGTGCCTCTTGTGTTGCTTCCTGCCTTTCTGTGGACCTGTGTCCTGTTTGCTCTGACGTCTGGTCTCTAACTGTGCCCCTTCCAGGCCTCCAGAGGCTGCACAGGCTACGGCGACCCCACTCCAGCAGTGACGCCTTCCCTGTGGGCCCAGCACCTGCTGGTTCCTGCGAGAGCCTGTCCTCCTCGTCTTCTTCCTCTTCCTCCTCTTCCTCCTCCTCCTCCTCTTCCTCCTCCAAGTCCTCAGCAGCTGGCCTGGGGCCACACTCTGGGTCCCCTTCACACCGCACCTCAGCCTGGCTAGATGATGGTGATGAACTGGACTTCAGCCCACCACGCTGCCTGGAGGGACTGCGGGGGCTTGACTTTGATCCCCTTACATTTCGCTGCAGCAGCCCCACCCCAGGGGACCCTGCACCTCCTGCCAGCCCAGCACCCCCGGCCTCTGCCTCTGCCTTCCCACCTAGGGTGACCCCCCAGGCTCTCTCACCTCGGGGGCCCACCAGTCCTGCTTCACCCACTGCCCTGGACATCTCAGAGCCCCTGGCTGTATCAGTGCCACCTGCTGTCCTAGAACTGCTGGGGGCTGGGGGAACACCTGCCTCAGCCACCCCAACACCAGCACTCAGCCCTGGCCCGGGCCTGCGCCCCCATCTTATCCCCCTGCTGCTGCGTGGAGCTGAGACCCAACTGAGTGACACCTGTCAACAGGAGATCAGCAGCAAGCTGGCACTGCCTAGTCCCCGGGGAACCCAGGGCCAGCATGGTGAGTCCTGCTTGGTCCATCTCATACTCTCTAGACCCTGAGGTTGTCCCAGAACACAGCTGACTTCCTTCCCATTCCTTTCTCTGTAGGTCCTGGTATGGATTCACCATTGCTACCCCCACCCCTGACCCTCCTGCGCCCTGGGGGGGCTCCACCTCCACCCCCCAAGAACCCAGCACGCCTCATGGCTCTGGCCCTGGCTGAGCGGGCTCAGCAGGTGGCCGAGCGACAGAGCCAACAGGAGCATGGGGGCACACCATCTGTTCCCCGTTCCCCTTTCCGCCGCTCACTGTCCCTGGAAGTAGGCGGGGAGCCTGTGGGGATCTCAGGAAGTGGGCCCCCCCCTCACTCCCTGGCCCACTCGGGTGCCTGGGCCCCAGGACCCCCATCCTACCTACCAAGACAACAAAGTGATGGGAGCCTGGTGAGGAGCCAGCGGCCCATGGGGACCTCAAGGAGGGGACTCAGAGGCCCAGCACAGGTCAGTGCCCAGCTCAGGGCAGGTGGGGGGTGCAGAGATGCCCCAGAGATGGCAGCTCAGTCCCCATGTTCTGTCCCCTCCCAGATTCCTACTCCTGGCTTCTTTTCCCCAGCCCCCCGGGAGTGCTTGCCACCATTCCTTGGGGCCCCCAAACCAGGCCTGTATCCCCTGGGCCCCTCATCCTTCCAGCCCAGCTCCCCAGCCCCAGTCTGGAGGAATTCCTTGGGCCCTCCAGACAGGGGAGAGAACCTGTACTATGAGATTGGGGCAAGCGAGGGGTCCTCCTACGCRGGCCCTACCCAGTCCTGGAGTCCCTTTCGCTCCATGCCCCCTGATAGGCTCAATGCCTCATATGGCATGCTTGGCCAGTCACCACCACTCCACAGGTCCCCTGACTTCCTGGTCAGCTACCCCCCACCCCCCTCCTGCTTTCCCCCTGACCATCTTGGCTACTCAGCCCCACAGCACTCTGCCCGACGTCCCACCCGGCCTGAGCCCCTCTACGTCAACCTAGCCCTAGGGCCCAGGGGTCCTTCACCTGCCTCTTCCTGTTCCTCCTCTTCCCCTCCGGCCCACCCCCGAAGTCGTTCAGATCCCGGACCCCCAGCCCCCCGCCTTCCCCAGAAGCAGCGGGCACCTTGGGGTCCCCATACCCCTCACAGGGTACCTGGCCCCTGGGGCCCTCCAGAGCCTCTCCTGCTCTACAGGGCAGCCCCGCCAGCCTACGGGAGAGGGGGTGAGCACCACCGAGGGTCTCTGTATAGAAATGGGGGTCAGAGAGGGGAGGGGGCTGGTCCCCCACCCCCTTACCCCACGCCTAGCTGGTCTCTCCATTCTGAGGGCCAGACCCGAAGCTACTGCTGAGCCAGAGCTGACAAGGACCTTATTCCCCTCCTTCRCCCTCAGTGACTCTCAGCCCAGCCCAATCCCTCATTTTGTATTTACTTGAGTTCCTGAGCCCTACCCCCGGTTTCTAACTTTGTAACTTGCTTCTGATGGTCCCTCACCTCAAATCAGTGTCCGCCCTGGCTGAAGGGTTTGCCTATCTCCCCACCATCTCGCACAAATCCAAGGGAGGGCTAGGTCGACACCCTGTTCTCTCTCCTCCTCCGGGAGCCTCCTGCCTGTCCTGATTGTGCACAGGGGGTAGGGGGACAACTCCTGCCTTCTTTCCTCGTGTGCCCCACTAAACCATCTGACAAAATTAATGAATAAAAATGGTGAAAATGTGGCTGTTGTGTCTGTCATGCTGGGGCCAGACTCGGCAAATGAAAAAGACACAGGGTTGGGGGTTGCTTTATCTTCATTTTCTTTCCTCTAGGCACTTGAGGGGGTGTCAGTCTCTACTGGAAGGCTGCAGGGGGGTGATATCTTCTGGGAGAGGACATTGGCGCCCTAGCAATCTGTGCCAGGGGTGAGGCTGGKCTCGTCTTCCAGTTGGCATCCACTCTGCAGCTCTGCCATGATCTCCTCCAGAAGGTCCATCCTGGGGAGCAGTGGGGCAGGGAGAGACCCATGGTCACCTCAGGGATGAGGGAGGAGCCCAGGGTCCCCCCACCGGGGCTCCATTTCTCACTGCTGCAGGCTGGAGAAGAGCCCTTCTKCGATCAGTTCAGTGCCAGGTGCCTGCAGGGGAAAAAGGCTTGAGCTGCCCCTGGGGGTCACGCAGCTCCAGCGGGCCTGGAAGAACGGAAGGCGCACGGTGGGTGGGCTCAGGGTCCTCCACTTTGCTTGCCCTCATGGCCTTCCCTGCCAGCAGCCTCCCAAGGTGTGGAAGCCTCCCTGTGGGTCACCAGGCAGGGGTGGGCTCACAGGGCCGGGGGTCCAGCGGGGCAACCCTGTGTGGGTGCTGCAGCAGCCCCTGCAGGGCTTGAATCTTGACTGAGAACTTCCTCTCAAACTGCTCCTCAGAGCTCTGGGTCCCCAGCAGGGAGGCCGATTCCTGGAARCTGGAGGGCAGGGCAGGGCCCTGAGGGAAGCAGGTTGGTCAGGGGTAACAGGTTCAGAGTCCCTGGTGGGGAGGTTCACTGGTCAGAGGAGAGGGGGCCAGGGGGCTACTGGGCAGGGGGATTGGGCTAGCAAGGGCTCTGGGGTGTCCGTACTATGGAGCTAGGTTCCAGACAGCAGTGCAGGCGGCCCCTGGCTCTGGGGCTAGGGCTGCAGCTGGGGCTGCTGCTGAGAGTCAAGCTGCTGCCGGAGTCCAAGGTTGCACTCCTCTGCACTCTACTGTGGCCAGTGGCCTCAGGAGTCTCCAGGGCCTGCAGAGAACAATGGCACAGTAGGCATGGGTCACCCAGGTGCCCCACACCTGCCTTGGTCCCCCACCTCCATTCCCCSGCCCCTACCTGGGATGGGACGGGGCCTGGTGGCACAGGCCTGGGTCTGGTCTTGACTCTGGAAGCTACCTCATAGAACAGTTTCTCTGGGGAGACAGAGCAACTGTTGTAACCGGGAGGCACAGATCCGCTACGCCCAGCACCACCACCACCCTTCCTTGCCCTCTAACCTGGTGGGGAACCCTGCAGTAGAGGGGACAGTGTGGTCCACTCCAATGTGGAACCAACCTCAGGGGATGAGTCCTGTGGAAAGGAGGCGTGTTGTGGGGGACAAAAGCCTGCCTGGGATTCCATGACTACCCCCAACCCCTGCTGACCTTCCTGTACCTGGGCCATGGCCTCCCGCAGCAGGTATCGAGTACTCTGCAAGCTGCCCCAGCGGTCAGCAGGCCCTAGGCCCAGCCCAGCCTGAACCAGGGCCTGGTAGGGGGCTGGCACCATGGGGTCCAGAGTTGGGCTCTCACCTGCCTCCAGCTTARCCTTCACCTCAGGCCCCTCTCTCCCAGCCCAGGGCAGCTCTCCTATGAGGAAGTACAATCAGGGAACCCAACCAGGTGGGATGCCTCAATGGGCCAGGGTATAGGGTGGTCACTCACTGACCAGTGAAAACCTCCTGAGCCAGGATGCAGAAACTGTAGAGATCTGAGGTGGTGGCAGGCATGTCACCGTGGATCAGCTCAAGTGGCAGCCATGGGTACAGTTCAGGGGGTGGGGGCAGCCCTTGGTTCCCCCAAGGGTAGCCCTGCTGCAGCCTGTGGAGCCCAAGGGGCCTGATGAGGCAGTGGCCACTGGGAGGCTCACAGGGCAGGCAGGCGGGTGGCGAAAGCACTCACCTGGGTCGCAGCCGGCATTGATGCAGTGGGCGCCCATGCTCCAGGTTGCCCACCTTAGCCAGGCCTGGCCGCACCAGCTGCACGGCATGGGAGGTAAGTCCACCGTGGGCCCGCCAGCGGGCCTGCAGGAAGAGCAGGGCCTCCAACACCTGCAGCAGCAGGTGGCCAGGCAGCAAGCCTGGCACGGTTTGGGGACCCTCCTCACTTGGTCTCTGTGAGTGCAGCACCACGTGCAGGGAGCCCAGCCACACGGGCTCAAAGAGGAGGCACAGCCCAGACAGGTCCACCGAGGGGCTCAGTGCCATCAGCAGCAGCAGGTTGGGGTGGTGCAGGGTGCTGGGCGGGGAGGARAGCGGGCCACTCACAAGCAGGCCCAACCTGCACAGGGTGGATTCTGTTCCTGAGCACACACCACCCACCCTGTGCCAGGGGCAGGCCACCTGCGCCAGCCACCAGCTAGAGGGAAACCTGAGACCCTGGTCGCACAGCCCCACGGTGGCAGAACCAGCACTGAGCCCATACTCCCCATCCATTTACCCCTCCCTATGCCCGCCTCCTCTCGGAGGCCCATGGGACACAGCACAAAGAACTGGGCATCCACTTTCCAGTGGAAGGGGAATCACCCCAGCTCGAAGGCTCCATGCTGCGTTCCACCCAGAGGTGAAGACTAACCATGGCTACCGCCACACTGCCCTGTCGTGGGGTTATGGAGTGCTGAAGTTGGGAGGGCAGGTGGACACTGGCGCAGGGAGCAGGCTGGGCAGCGGGGAGGCTGGGACAGGATACCTGCAGTGCTGAAGGTCAGCCAGCAGCACATCAGGGTGGGCTCCTGGGACCTTCAGCCGCCGCACAGCCACAGGGTGGCTCCTCCACAGGAGGCTAGAGAATGGCGAGCAGCAGAGGGCAGGTCTGAGACATGGGAGCAGGATTTCCTTGTGAGGGGGACAGGGAGCAGGGGGCACTGCAAGAACACAAGAGGGAGCTCTCACTTGACCATGAGGGTATGGGAAGTGCTCTCGTAGGTGCGGTCAGGTTCGCCCTGGGCTGGTAGCAGCTCCTTGAGGTCCACTAGGGGTATGCCTGTGACCAGCCCCAGCGGCTGCAGGCTGCTCAGCTGGGGACGGGGAGCAGGACCATGAGACATGAAGAAGACAAGGGTGGTCCACGCTCCCCCAATACCTCCCACTTACCTGGCCAAACCCCAAAGCTGGGATTTGAGGGGATCTCCTGATCTGCTCTGGCTTCAGTGTTCTGGAGTAAAGGGTGGGCTTAGGGTGAATCTGGAGTAACTGAGCATGGTGGGTGGGTGAGCTCTCCAGGGTGCAGAACATTACCTGTCTGTCTGTACCAGCCACAGAGAGGACAGGGAGCCACACATGCTATTCCCGGAGCTGGCCTGCAGTTGGCCCAGGGAAGTAGTAGGTGCCAGGTCAGCACCATGCAGTAGTGCTGACATATGGGCACGACACAGCTGCAACAGCTCCAGCATCTGGATGGGGACACATGGGTGAGGCTGGGTATGGTGCTGGCCCTGACGTCCCCACCTGCACCAACGCCACTGCTTACCTCCCAGCTTGGTTTGGCACCCCCCTGCTCAGCCCAGTCTCGCGGTGTGCGACCCTGCTGGTCATGCAGGCGCAGGTCACCCCCTGCCTGCAGCAGGTGCAGCATCACCAGGCCACAGCCTGAGAAGGCGCCCGCATGCACTGGTGTGCTGCCATCAYGGCAGCGGCTAGGGCAGAACAAGGGTGGGAATGGATTAGGAAAGGGATGGAACAGGGGCAAAAAGTGGCAGGAAGATGGCCTTGGGGGATGGAGGCGTCACTGTGAACAAGGGAAGTGGGTACCAGAATGGGAAGGGTTACTTGAGGATGCCATTGGGTCTTTGGGGGGCTGAGAGGAGGACCACTGTGAGCATGGGAAGCAGCAGGGATGAGAAAGGGCTACCCCAGAGGATCAGGGGATCACCAAGGGATAGAAGAGGAGTCCTGGCTTTCAGGCTCAGGACCCTGGGCGTGTGGGGGCATCTTGGCCTGTCCACTCACTGGTTGGGGTTGGCACCAAAGGCCAAGAGAAGCCGCACGGCAGAGCTGTGGCCCAACAGTGCTGAGAGGAAAAGCCCCGTCTGCCCAGCAGAGTTCTCACCATCCACCTGGACAACTGAGAGGCAGCAAGACTTAGGACTGCCCCTGCCCCGCATTCCTGGGTCAGAGGTCCTAGGGCCATCAGGCAAACATTCTTGCCAATTCCCAGCCTCCACGGTCCCTCCTAGACTGGGTGACCCCTGACCCCGGGTTCCATCAGGGTCCCAGAACCCCCTCCACATATATGCACCAGCTGCTGAGGACTCAATCCTCAACAAGGTGCACCGGAAATCACCATTAGGTCCACAGAACAAGGGGCGACATCTGCCTGTTGTGCAGCATCCATATCTCTAGAGGTGTCAAGATCACAATGGGGCTGGGAGGAAGGAACCATCACGAAACCTTGTGCATTGTCCCACTGTCTGCGACAGGCAACCTTCACCCAGCCCTAACTCAGTATTGTATATAGTGTCCAGCCTTCAATCTTCAAGAAAAGCAAACTTTCTGGATTCTACGAGGAAATCTCATTAAACACTGCACCTAAAGGCTAACTCCAGATGGCAACCTCTTATTCACTGCCACCTCAATGCTGTGCCTTCCCCCATGTCCTTCCCCATCATCACTTTGCGCAGATGCCACCTCCCATTCACTCACCCTCTGCTCCATGCTTTGTATCTATGCCCCTCCCCATGATTCCTGAGTTCCTCTTTCTCCAGGTCCTGCGCCAAGGAGGGCCAATGCATKGTGTCCTTGTCTTTGTATCCCTGTGTCCTCGGCAGAAACAGTCAATCAATCATGCACTTGGTCCACCCCGGCTGGCTCTCTACCTCAAAACCCCTCAAATGTAGACCTTCCAGAACCTCTGAATACCACATTCACTGCACCATGTTTTACTCAAGCCCATCTTTTGCAATGGTCTTCTAATTGGTTTTTGCACTCATCATGCAATACAAAGGCATCTTCTTTAAATACAAATCATTTAAGAACTAGATAATCTTACACAAGTTGTTCCAAAACAATAAAAATTAAAAGGATGGTAAGGCTCACTTTCTGAGGCCAATCTGACCTGAATTCCAAACCAGATGAGAGTTTCCAGAACCAGAAAATACAATTATATTATCAGTTCTGCTTGTGATCATGTATGCAAAAACACTAAATAAAATAAAATTGCTTTATCTCTAGAAAGCAAGGATTATTCAACCCAAGAATAGCTATCCATGTAATAAAATGCATTCATGGATTAAAGGWCAAACATCACATACTTAAGTAGATAAAAAAGTACTTGATATAAGTTAATATCAACTTATAATTGAAGGAAGAGAACCTCAGAAAATAGACGGGAACTCCCTTACTTGATAAGAATTGTAAGCCAATAGCAAGCATGATAAAACAGAAACAGAGACTCAATCCCTTTAATATCAAGAACAAGGATAAAGAAGGGAAGGAAAAGGCGGGGRACCAGAAACTGAAATGGAGTAAATCAAATTCCATGCATGTACGATTCTGACAAAATGAACCCTCCTATTATGTATAACTATAATGCACTAATTAAAAGGAGGAAAAAAGAAGGAAAACTATGTCTGCCAACAACATGGTTTGGGAGTTCTGGTTAATACTCAAGGGAAGAAAAAGAAACTTAAGAGTTCAAATATTGAAGGGCAAAGACCAAACCTTAACCATTTTCAGCCAACAAATCATAAACATTTAAAAATAAAAATTAAGAAAAATAAAAGAATCAACAATTACAACAACTAAGCAAGTTCAGAAATAGGCCAGAACTTAACAAAAATCAATGAAAACAGAAATTGTAAATTTTTAATGCTCATTGTGATGTTAATTTCCTGCTTACAATTCCAATGGTTTTCCATCCCACTGAGAACAAAATCCAAAAAAATCACACACATTCTGAAGCCCTTTACTATCTGGACCTGAGTCCTCTACCAGAGCCCATGCACACACATGCCCAGTTTGCTTTGATTTCAGTGCCTTTGCATAGGCCATTCAGCTTCCAAGGGGGTCGGGGTCTGTCTGTCTGACTGTCTCTCTCTTGCATGATTGGCTCCTATACCGCAGGATTAAAGTTTTACTCCATCTGAAAAGCCACTTGTCCGATGTGTCTCATCCTCATTCCTCTTATAAGGCCACTATCAGATTTCATTCTCAATGATTCAGAAGTTAGATTCACCCTAAAATCCCCATCTCAGACTTCTGAGTCTGGCGCACAGTAGATGCCGGTGTATACAGCTGCTCACTGGCCCACTGAAGCTGTACCTTCCACACCCACCCACCCCACCCCACGCCCCTTGGTCCTGTCCCGCAGGCCTCCCAGCAGCCAGGTCCTCACCTCTCCGCAGGAGCCTGGCCAGACCCCAGCTTGGGCCCCCGGCCACGGCCAGACGATGCAGACGGCCCACCTGGGCATCTGGATCCCGCACGGAGCCCAGTTCCACTGGGAAGCGTGAGGGCAGCGAGGGCATCTGTGGGCTGTGGACTCAGTTCCCGGGCGGGGGTCAGCTAGGGGGTCTCATGAGGGCAGAAGGAGGTGAAGGACCGCACCTCTGGGGGCAATAAAGCAATAAAGTCAGAACTGGCCGGGTGGGAAGGGGACTTGGGAGGGTTTGATAGGGGTGGAAGCGTGGTCCATAACAGAAGGTCAGCTGTAAGGGGGCCTGAGGATCGAAGCCCGAGGGCAGCATAAAGGCGGGGAGAGGAGCTGGGGGCTGGGGAAAGGTGTGGCAAAGGTGACAGAGTCTGGAAGAGCGTCTGAGGGGTTAGGAGGCGGCTCTGGACGTTGCAGATTGGAGGAAGAGGCCAGCGGTGGAGGAAGAGGCGGAGTGGTCTACCCGCCTGGGAGAGGCCCAGGTGGGGCCTGAGGAGGGCCAGGTGGCGCCTGAGGAGGGCCAGGTGGCGCCTGAGGAGGGCCAGGTGGCGCCTGAGTGCGGCGGGAGGAGGAATCGGAAGAGTGGCCAAGCTGCGGCGGTCTGCAGCTTGGCCACGTATTCTGGGATCGGGAGGGTCCCTGGAGGCTGATGGAAGGGACTAGTAAAGGGAGGGGACCGGGGGCGGAGTCTGAGGCCTGGGGGAGGAGCCTGGGGCGGGGTCTGAGGCCTGGGGGAGGGGCTGGGGGGAACTGAGGGGCCTGAAGCTTGAAAAAGTTCTAGGCCTGGACCCCAATCCAGGTGGCTTTACACCTACCGTTGGGCCCTATAGTGGACATCACGTGACCACCACGTGACCGTGACCGCAGCGCGCGATGGCTGTCTGGTTGGGAATCTAGGCGCACGTGCACCAGCGGCTCCTGTTACTCTTGCGCAGAAGCTTCCCTCCCCGCAAAAGGGCCCTGGCAGACGTGTCATCGTGTCATCGTCAGTGCCTCAGCTGCACTCTTCCTTCCCCGCTTCTCGCCTACACTGCAGAACTTTTGGGGGGCAGCAGGCCCTTCCTGACCCTGTGTAGATTCCTTGGCTGTCTTGCCATGCTCCTCATTTAGCCTTTTCCCTGCACCCTATTTCTGAAGGAGACACAGGGCACCTCCCCTTGGACATCTGCTGGGACCATCACACACCCCAGGACCCACAGTGGCCTCAGAATTCTCCCCAAACTGTTTTCTCCTGTATTCCCATCTCAGGGTTGGCCCCACTGTCCCCCTTTTCCAAGTCAGAGCCCTGGACTTCGCCCTGGCCATCTCCCTCCCATTTGGCCCTCAGCCTCGTGTCCCACGACCTGTCTCCTCCTCCCCTCCCTGCCCTGCTCCAGCCTCTCTCAGGCTCCCAGCCTGATATCACTTTCTACTCCATTCTCCACATGGCAGCCAGGGGGGTCTCCTACAGCCCAAACTGACCCTGTTTCTCTCCAGTCTGAACCTCTTCTGATTCCCCAGTTCCCCCAGGACCGAGGCCAAGCTCTACAGTCTGGCCTGTGAGGCGGTATTATCCCACCCCTCTATCCTTGCCTCCCCACCCCCCAATCCATGCCAGACTTGTGTTTTGCACATGTCCTTGCTTTGAATGCTCCTCTCAATCTTCGTGATGATTCTTAGGAATTTTGGGGGATGGTCTCTTGATCATCCTCAGCTTGGGTCAGGTGCCTCCTCTGGCTTCCCACAGCCGCCATGCTACCCCAACATAGCCCTGACCACTCTGGGTTATCACTGTCTGAAGTGGGTCTGTCTACACCTCCTGGCCCTGTGATGCAGGGCCCAGGATCATCTTTGTCACTGTTATGTCACCAGCCTTACTCACCTCAGAACCTAGCTCAAAAAGAGCCCAGTGTTTATTAACTGGGAAAGTGCTCTGTTCGTCCCTGGCCATGTGACCTTGGCCCAACCTTTCATCGTCAGTGCCTCAGCGTGCACTCTTCCTCCATGCTCCTCTTTTGGGTATTGGCTGAGATGAACGAAGCTCCCACATCAGTCACTGCCCAGGTTTATCCCAAGATGGGAGATCTCAGAGTGGAGGGGGACGTTTTATTCATGCTTGAACAATGTCCTTGGTATGCGCAGGGGGCCATTTAAAGAATCTCTCTTGAGCCCCACATCTCCTTCGCTTGGGTTGGTTAAAATTGAGATGAACCCTTCCACAAAAAAGCAGCATCAGTGCAGGACAGCAGCCTGGGCAGTAGCTCAGAATCTTTATTGAACACACAACCCTTGGGGGTGCTAATGGGGTAGCCTTCTGCTTCTCCCCAGCAGCCTCCGCCACAGTTCTCGGCTGAGCAATGCCTGCTCCCTGCGGGCACCCTGCAGCACACTGCGGTTCTCCTGGGCCCTCCGAATCAGGTAGGGGATCACCTCCTTCAGGCAGCCGTAGGGGATGGACTTATACACCATATATCCAGCCTGCCCTGGAGGGAGAGTGTTGGCAGGGGACAGGCTCAGGCTTGGGGAGAGGCGCCCAGGCCCCATCTTCGACAGAGATTTCCATTTTAAGAACATGGCAGACTTGAGTGAGTTGGACAAAATTTCCCAATGAGAAAAAAGTTTGATTCTGGAGTAAACATTTCAAAGAATCTTCTTAAGGTTATTAAAATGCTGCCAAGAGCTGGGCACCTCGGCTCACGCCTGTAATCCCCAGTGGAGTATCAGACAGGTGGATCGAAAGTTCAACGCCAGCCTCAGCAACTTAGCCAGGCCCTAAGCAACTTGAAATTTAAAAACAAATAAATAAAAAGAGCTAGGGATGTGGCTCAGCAACCCCTTGATTCAATCCCCAGTACCAAATTAATAATAATAATAATAATTCTGCTAAGACAGCAAGGAATTTACTAATTCAGAATTAAAAGAAAATGAGATCTGAGAAAGAAGGACGTACAGGAAGCTACGTATGCTTTGCATGCAAACTAGAGCTCCTATTTGATGATTTCACTGATGTCAGGGTACACTTGAGCTGTGAGCCTCACTAGAGGGAGAATTATAGGAAAAATTTTCCAAAACTACATTGCAAAACAGAGAAAGTTACACCCCTTAGAACAAAAATCAAGGAGAAGTAAATTCTTCCACTTTCCCCCACTCCCAAGAAATGAAATGGCCATAAGTAGAACAGGGAAGAAAACAGAAAGATCCATCTCTTGAGAGGTCACGGCCATGGGTTAGTTCCCTCTCATATTTGCAGCCCAAATTTGCATCCCTGGAGAGCTCAAGAAACCTCAAGCTGTGATTTAGGGTACAATGGTTTTGTATCCCTGAACATCTAGCAGAAGGAGACATAAATCTTGTGGCCTCAGGTCCTGGGGAGAAGCACAGTCAAGATCACAAAGCAGACAGGAATTGTGGCCCCATGATCAAGAACCAGCAGAGAGCAGGGACCCAGCCCTGCAAGGCCCACAGATATCGGGACAACTCATCTATCTGGAGGGAGCTGGAGGATGGAACTCTGTGGACTCTGGATGGGAACACGGCCAGGATGGGTTGGGGATAGCAGAAAGGATCTGCTGGGAGGAAATGAGGCATGCAGCAGGTAGCTCCAGGTATGAATGGGAGATGGGCCCTTCACATACCCAGTGCTAGGGAGACGTGGTCACACATGCCCAGAAGTTGTCCAAAACAGACAGGTCCATCCAGAGGAATGCCCAACTCCCACATGCTACAGAAAAGACCACATCATCCATCACGAAAGATAATGACTGAATCTGGAGCAGCAAGTCAGCCACTGCACACTCATAGGTTGCTCTGGCTATTCAATATTGAAGTACTGTTGGCCTGCTATATCTACGGATTCTGCATCCTCAGATTCAACCAACCAAGGGTGAAAAATGTTATTTTAAAATTGTGCCTGCACCAAACGCATACATTTTCCTTGCAATTATTCACTAAACAGTACAGTGTAACAACGATTTACATAGCATTTATGTTCTATTAGATATTATAAGTACTCTAGAGATTATTTAAATATATGAGGGGCTGTAGCTGTAGCTCAGTGGTTGAGCGTTTGCCCAGCATGTGTGAGGCACTGGGTACAATCCTCAGCACCACATACAAATAAATACAATCAAGTTGTTGTGTCCACTAACAACTATTTTTTTAAAAGTACATGAGAAGATGTGCATGCAAATATTATGCCATTTTAGACAAGGGACTTGAGTGTCCCAAGGATTTTGTCCGAGGGGGTGGTTCCTGAAACCAATCATCTGTGGATAATGAAGAATAATTGTACCTCCAAACTCAATGATAAATAACTATATGAGTCTCCCAAAGAACTCCCAATGAGTCCTGGTCACTTCCTGGAACTATCAGACTTCCCCACGCCCCAGTATATAAAGGTCAATTCCTTGTCCATCCAGGGCTTAAATGTTTTTATATCCTCTCTAAAGCACCGTAACCCCATCGCCCTCTGCCCATCCGTCTGAAGGAAGGGGGCCCTCCTGTGAGCACCTGTTTCCCACTCCCCCTCCTCATACCGCTTAGTTGCCTGGCGAACAGATTCTTCATTGTGGGAAGCCACCATGAGGTGGCACATGGGGCCATGGTGGGACACAAGGCTCAGCATCAACTCCAGACAGCGGCTGTAACTGAAGGGAGATGCCCCATTCGGTTCACCTGGTGGGCGAGGGTCAGGCCCCAGGAACGGGGGTAGGGTCTCTGGAGTTCAAAAGTCCCCTCATCCCACCTGTCCCAGCTCTAAGGGACATCCCTTCTCTGAGCCATTTCCTCCTTTTGTGGCCATGTGAGTTCAGTGACAGGGCTGCTGTGAGGGTGTGTGTGCACAGTCTCTGACACAATGGCAGACTCACAACCAGGGGGAACGCTGCCAGCACGGGATGCCAGCACCCAAGGGTGGTCCCCGCACCACCGTCCACAGAACAGGATTGGCAACAACCCACAGGGAACTGGCTGTATGAACTAGGGCACATCGAAGAGCCTGGGGTGATGGTTGGGGACAAAGGGAGGAGCAGGGAGCCCAAGGAGGAGGCGACCATTCAGGTGAGCAGTGTCCTGGACCAGGGAGGGGAAGTCACGCGTAGACAGATACAGGATGCTGGCCGGCAGTGAACTCTGATGAATTCAAGGTCACGTATTATTATTGCTCCCAAGACTGCCTGGCCCAGCCCTACCTCCTACTGGTGGCCTCATAGTCAGGCTGAGTGGGATCTTCTGTCCCCTGGAGCTGGGACACTTTTCTCTCCTTTTCCAGATAGGCACCTCGGACCAACTTCACTCCAAAGGCCAGGCCTGCCCTGTGTGCGCCCTCGGCATCACGCCGCAGCCGTTCGTGTGTATCCTATGGGGCACGTGGCGGGTGGAGGTGGGGCAGGTGCTGGGCCCCCACCCACGGGCCTCCAGAGGGCATCACCCACCTTCAGATAGGCCTGGTACGTGTTCCACACCCAGGGCCCACCTTCCCGGGGGCTGTTCCAGCGCACAGCCAGGGCAGCGACCAGCAGAGAGAGCGCGGGGTTGATGAAGGTGTACTCCGCGTCCACCAGGAGCCTCACCTGCCGGGCCTGGGCATACTGAGGGGAAAAGAGACCCTGGTGAGGATCCCAGGGATGTCCCGCAGGGGCACAGAGCAAGACTGCAGCTGGCATTACCTGTGCCACCCGGTTCAAGCGGCTCAGGGAGGCCTGGAGATGCTGGTTCTGCTCAGTGTTGAGGCAGGACACCTGGAGGTTCTGGGAGGGCAGCAGGGGAGCAGAGAGGGGCTCAGGATTGCTGGATGCTTCCAGGGCCTATGTCTCCCCTCCCCCATCATCAAGAAGGGGGAAAAAATTTAGAAATTATTAGAAGTAGAAAAAATAGCCATATCCAATAGACACCATTTATTGAGATAGACGTAATGCAAAGGTTAGGAGATCACACTCTGGGTTTGAATCCTGGCTCTACCATTCAGTGTGTAATTTTGTGTGTGTGTGTGGGGGGGTGCTGGGGATTGAACCCAGGGTCTTGTGCATGCGAGGCAAGCACTCTACCAACTGAGCTATATCCCCAGCCCTACTGTGAGATCTTGAGCAAGTCATATAACCTCTCTGGGCCTCAGTTCCTTCCTCTGTAAACTGAAGATGATAATAGTTCCTTCCTGCTGGGGTTGTTGTGTGCAGAAGATGGGTTAATATGTGAAATGCTCCTGGATGTCATCAGGACAAGACAGTGTCACACATAACAAGCACGCACTGTTATTACTAGAATGAGTAGAAGGCTTTACATACGATCAGACTTAGTCTTCACAATGATCCTAACAGACAGATATTAATGTTATTCAAGTTCCAATTTCCGGTGAGGAGATTAAAGCTTGGAGAGGTGCAGAGACTCAGGATGACATGGAAGGTGCTGAGCCCAGCGGCCGGCTCACAGAGACTGCCATGCTACCTCACAGTGGTCTCTTGGGACCTCATTTCCTCATCCAAGGCCAAGGGCCCCACTGTAGCCCCCAAAGGCTTCTCCTGGTCTGGTCCTTTGTGACTTCTCTGCTCCACATTCCTCCTTGCTCTGCCCTCTACACTGGCCTCCCGGTCACCCTTGGAATGTGCCAGCTACCTTCCCCCTGAGGGTCCTCGTCCTTGTTACCCAGATCATGTCCACTTGCCTGGCTCCCTCCTCTCCCTCTCCCTCATCTTTGTTAGTTTGCTGTTCTCTCCAGGACCTGCCTTTCCTGTTCCTCTGCCTCGTTTTCCCCGCAATGCTCATTTATACCTGTCACATTCTGACTTGGGTTTTAATGATCGAGGGTCTCCTGTCCCTGGCTAGCAAGTAAGTGACACCAGGGCAGGAACTTAGTTGTCTTGGTCACTGTGTTAGTCAGTTTCCGTCCCTGTGACAAAATACCCTAGGTAAACACCTGAAAAGGAGGCAAGGTCTATTTTGGCTCACAGTTTCAGAGGTTTTGGTTCATGGCCACTTGGCCCGAGGGGCCCGTGGCCAGGCCGCACATCAAGGTGGGGACTGCATAGAGGAGGAAACCGCTCATCTCGTGCAGCCAGAAAGCAAATAGAGAGACAGGAGGGTCCAGGTGCCCCAGTATACCCCTCAAGGGCACAGTACCCCAAATTAAATGTGTTAGGAACAAATGCAATTGTAACATGGTAGCAATAATTGTCCCAAACTCCCAGTCTTTTTGTGGGGACTCAAAAGGGTAAATGGGAACTGTTGGGGTGCAAAGGGACTCTAGCTGAGTTCAAAGAAATTGGGAAGGTAAAGAACGAGACCCAGGTGGGACTGAATCCCTTATTATATCCACGGAGTCCCCCCGGGACAACATAGCCTGAGGCTGCTGACCGACCCTCACCTGGGACGCATTGTTCTGGACACTGCAATCTTCCCATCTTGGCAGAGAGGGTTCTCCAGGAAGAAGGAAGAGCTGGGGGCACCCGCCCAGTCGCCTCTTCCCCATCACAGAACTGCCCCTCTCCCAGCCTGGAGCTTGGTCTCAGGGGTTGTGGAGAGTTAGCAGCTGCCAGGGCTTCCTCCCCATAACACCCCTCCTCCTAGGGCCCGACTCCCTGCAGCCCGCCACTCCAGGCACTGGCCAGGTGTTTAACTCGTTTGCGGTCTTCTGAGGGAGGGACTGTCATGGTCCCCATTTTGTGGACGGAGAAACTGAGGCACTGAGAGGCAAAGTCACTTGTCCAAAGTCACACAGCTAGTCGGGGCACACTTGGGATCTGAACCTCAGCCTCCTCCAAAGCCTGGGTTCCTAGGTTCATTGTCTAAACTCATGGCAGAAAATATACTTGAACGTATGTGAAGCCGGACAGTATGTGGCATAGTGTGAGTGATGAATAAGTTCTCCACGATTCATTTGTTTGATGTGTATTAATCATATCTCGTCTAGATGCCAGGGGCTGGGGAAATGGCAGTGACAGTGGATATGGAGACCTGGGCAGGGGGGTGGAGTCGAGATGGGAGGAGAGGGACAGGAAGGAAGGACAGGTTTGGGGAGACACCGAGGCCAGTGTGAGATCCATGTTCCAGGGGAAGTATCCATGAGGCTTGGGGGAAGGGCTGGGGCTGAGACAGAAATATGGGCATCACTAGTGCAGAGTAGGGAAACCGAGGCTGCTGTGGTGGGGGAGAGGTGGGGCCAGGACCTAAGCCTGGGGAACCTTCATATTTGAGAAACAGGCAGAGCCAGGCACAGTGGCACACACTTGTAATCCCAGCAGCTCGGGAGGCTGAGGCAGGAGGATCACGAGTTTAAAGCCAGCCTCAGCAAAAGCGAGGCACTGAGAAATTCAGTGAGACCCTGTCTCTAAGTAAAATACAAAGTAGGGCTGGGGATGTGGCTCAGTGGTCGAGTGTCCCTGAGTTCAATCCCTGGTAAAGAAAAGAAAGAAAAGAGAGAGAGAGAGAGAGAGAGAGAGAGAGAGAGAGGAAGGAAGGAAAGAAAGACATCACAAAATAAGATGGATTGAAGGTGGATAGAGGGATAGATATGAATTAAAGGAAGTATAGTGGACTCTCCAGATTGGTGGGTTCTGTTTCCATGGATTCAAGCAATAGCTAGTAAAAATAATGAGAAAATTACATCTGTACTGATCATGTAGGACTTTTTTCCTGCCATGATTCCCTAGACAAGAGAGTATATTTACATTTGCATTAAATATTATAAGTAATCCAGAGATGATTTAATGTGTACAGGGGATGTGCATAAGTTATATGCTAATAACAGCCAGCGCACACCATTTTATGTAGAGACTTGAGCATCCTAGGATTTTGGCACCCTTGTTGGTCCTGGAACCTGTCCTCTATATGTACTAAGAGATGACTATATGATTAAAGGTGGTGGGTGGACAGCTGTTTTATATATATATATATGATTTTTCCTGTTCTATGTTTGAAAATATTCATCATAAAATATTGGGGGAAGCCTGGCGCAGTGTCTCATGCCTGTAATCCCAGTGGCTCGGGAGGCTGAGGCAGGAGAATCATGAGTTCAAAGCCAGCCTCAGCCACTTAGTGAGAACTGTCTCTAAATAAAATATAAAAAAGGGCTAGGGATGCGGCTTAGTGATTGAGTGCCCCTGAGTTCAATCCTCTGTGTGTGTGTGTGTGTTGGAAGTATCACCCAAAATACTATTTCTGGAAACAAATCACCATAATAAAAAGATCCATACACACTACCCAAGATGGAGTGGCTGGGGGAGCCCCAGGACATGGATACAAAAAGGAATAAGGAACAGCCTCTGCACTCGGTTCAGCTGTGTTGACTGATAAAGTGTTGATACCCTGTCACCTGGGGAGAGAGCTGCTGTCTAGCCCTTCTTTGGGAGCACTCAGCCCCTGGGCTCCCCGCTGAGAACCCTGGAGGGTTCATATGCCATCCACGTCCACCATGTGCCACGGCTGCAGCCACATTCATCCTGATCGTTCTAAGCCTGGGAAGAAGTGGCAGTTAAATACGGTGCAGCCTTTGCCACTTACACACGGGGACTGACTCTGATAAACGCGCCACCGTGTGAACCTCATGAAGTGTGCTTCCACACATCCAGAGCTCAGTCATCAGCTGTGGCCTCTTTTTTGGGGGAGGGTGGGCACCAGGGGTTGACCTCAGGGGCACTCGACCACTGAGCCACACCCCCAGCCCTATGTTGTGTTTTATTTAGAGACAAGGTCTCACTGAATTGCTTAGTGCCTCGCTTTTGCTGAGGCTGGCTTTGAACTCACGATCCTCTTGCCTCGGCCTCCTGAGCTGCTGGGATTATAGGCGTGCGACATCAAGCCCCGCAAGCCGTGACCTCTCAATGCCAGAGATTTGGCAGACACGAGATCTATGAAGCTGCTGCCTGCATAACACAGCGCACATTTAAAACAATGACAGCAGGGGGTGCCGTGGTTCAAGCCTTTCATCCCAGCAACTTGGGGTGTTGAGGCAGGAGGATCCCAAGTTTGAGGCCAGCCTTGGCAATTTAGAGAGACTCTGTCTCAAAATAAAAAAAAATTTTAAAAAGGAAAGAAAGAAAAAGTCTGGGGATGTAGCTCAGTGGTAGAGTCACCCTGGGCTCAATACCTAGTACCACAACAAAGAAAATAAAACAATGGTAGAAAGGATAATAGAATACATAAAACAGTGACATAATTGTTATCATTATCAAATAGGTACTGTATGTGGTTGCATGTGTTGTACTTTTATTTTTACTTGTTTATTTTTTGTATTGGGGATTGAACCCAGGATTTCAACCATGTTAGGCAAGTGCTCTAGACTGAGCCACATCCCCAGCCCTTAATATATATATATATGATAGACACAATACTTTTATTTTAATTCATTTTATGCAGTGCTGAGGATCTAATGTAGTATCTCACCCATCCTAGGCAAGGGCACCAGCTCTCCCCTCAGCCCTTTTTATTTTGAGTCAGGTCTCCCTAAGTTGCTGAGGCTGGCCTCAAACTTGTGATCCTCTTGCCTCAGCCTCCTGAGTCACTGGGATCACAGGCGTGTGCCATTGCACCCAGCGGTACTATGCTTGTCTCCGACTGGTAGCACAGTAGATTTGTTTCCACCAACATTACCACCAATACGTAAGTGATGGCATCGTGATATGACGTCACAAGAACTATGATCTCACTAGGCAATAACAGAAATATTCAGATGCATTAGACTCTATGGGATCACGTCACCTGTGCATCATTCTGCCGCTAAACTCGCCGTCTCTCTCAACATGCCTGCTACGTCTAGTCTGGGGGACTCTGCTCCCGGGCACTGCCCCCCTCAAGTCCTTACCTGTCCAGAGTCCATGGCTTCTGCCAGCCTCTCCGGGCTCAGCTCTGAGGAGACCCCTGGCTTTGTGATCCATGAGGTCAGGTCCTTCTGAAATGGGGTGGCGGGTGGCGGGGTGAGGGGACGTGGGGGGCAGCCCCTCCGCCACCCCCATCATCTTACTTGTCCCTTACACAGAGCCGAGTGCTGGCCAGCGCTGTCACCTTCAGCTGCATGAGGGTCTTCCCAGCCAGGTCGGGGCTCTCTGGGAGGCCTCGTGACAGGTCCACACACCGCAGCATGGCATCCAGGTTGCCCTCATACCAGGCCTCACTGCCCGGCCAGCAGAGGACAGGGTCCGGGGGTCAGCCTCCTCCTGCCGTCGCCCCAGCCTCCCTGGCCCTGGCCCCTACTCACCCCGTCTGGGCAGCCGCGTCTGGCTCCTCCTCAGTGGGCACTGCCAGCAGCGGCCGGAGGCCCAGGGCCTGGAGCTGCCGGACACAGCCGTCCACCTCCTCTTGGGTCTCTCCAGCCACAAACTGCCCGTACACAGATGCCCGGAGAAGGGCACCCGACAGCCGCGAGCCCAGGAGTCGCTGAGACCAGGCCTGGAGCTGGGTGACAGGGAACAAGGGCTCAGAGCCAGTCCTGGGAGCCTCCAGGCCCATGCTCAGGGTCACAGCTCACCGCCAGCCCGTGGGTGACCAGAGGGGGCCAGGCACACAGCCGTAGCACCAGCAGAGCCCGCGCCAGCTCCGCTGTGCCCTTGAGGTGGAAGGCCTCGCCATCGAAGTTCAGGGGCTGCCGGCCCCCAGAGGAGGGCCCAGCCTGGGAGTAGAGCACCCGATGGGTCCGGAGCATCCCGAGTCCCTTGCCACTCCACGCCGGGGAAAGGGGCTTTGATGGTGGCAGATGCACACTGACTGCCCCTTGCCCAGCCAGGGGACAGTGACTGATTAACTGGGCAAATCTTTAAGATCGAAAGCTCTTTGGGGGCAGTAAATTATTAACCAATGGGGACAGAGTTCGGAGTAACAGTAACAGGAAAGGAAACCCCCAGTTTCGGCCCCCGGCCACCTTCAGTGTCACAGTGCACTCTTGCGAGATGCGCACCACATGCCTGGGGCTGCTGGGTGGACCACGGTCTGGGGAGCAGGAACTCTGGATTCAAGGCAGTTTGGCTTTTCCATCTTGGGAAAGTCACCTAAGCTCTCCTGTTGCAATTGTTTCATATTTTAATGAGAAGCAGTGTAGTGTTATTGAATAAAATTTAAAATACACATAATCTATAACCCAAATGTTCCATGCTAAGTATATATCCTGCAGAACTGGAACACTGGCATCAGGGAAAATGTACAAAAATGTTTATCATGGCCCCAGATGGGAACCACCCAAGTTTTTATCAAAGAAGAATAAATAAATACATTGCAACTTAGTCAGACGAGGGAATACTATACAGCACATAAAAAGAACAAACTGCTGATATATACAACCGCATGGTCCAATTTCACAAACACGATGTTGAGTAACAGAATTCAGCCATCTCTCTGACTTTTGTGTTAATCATTTCCTTGTTTTTCTTACTCTTTTGTCTGACCACCCATGTGTGTGCCTCTAAAACATTATTATAGTTTTACTTTCCCTGCTTTCAAATCTTAAAGATTTGCCCAGTTAATCAGTTACTGCCCCCTGGTTGGGCAAGGGGCCGTCAGTGTGCATCTGCCACCATCAAAGCCCCTTTCCCTGGTGTGGGGTGGCATGATGCTCTGCCGTCGGGTGCTCTACTCGCAGGCTGGGCCCCCATTTGGGGGCTGGCAGCCCCTGAACTTCAATGTCGAAGCCTTCCACCTCAAGGGCACAGCAGAGCTGGTGCGGGCTCTGCTGGTGCCACAGCATGCGTGAGGCACTGGATTCAATCCTCAGCACCATTAAAAATAAATAAAATAAATGTGTCCATCTACAACTAAAACTTTTTAAAAAATAAAATAAAAAATTAATTTGCCGTAGTATCAGTCTCCCAGAGTTGTTTTGAGAATCCAGTTAACGGACATACATAATTAATGGTGTATAACGTGTTCTGTAAATACTGGCTGTGATCATCAAGGGCTGTGTATGCACAATCTCATTGACACCTGTCTCTCTGGGGAGGCATGTGTCATAATCAACTCTGTGTTTGGGGATCCCCAAGACCACCTCGGGTTCAGTGATTCCCTATAAGGTCTCATAGAATTCAGAGAGGCCAGAATACTCAACATACGTGTCTAAAGAATGAGTTTGTTCTCCTACGTACCCACAATGTGAGTCTCACTTATAAGAAAATATCAATAATTCCTTAGCACCTGATATCTTACCCATGGTAAAAATTTCCCCAATTGCCTCTAAAATGGCTGTTTAAAATTAACTAATTAGCCAGGCGTGGTGGTACATGTCTGTAATCCCAGCTTTTCAGGAGGCTGAGGCAGGAGGATCACAAGTTCAAAGCCAGCCTCAGCCACTTATCGAGACCTTAAGCAACTTAGTAAGACCCTGTATCTAAAATAAAATATATTTTTAAAAAGCGCTGGGAATGTGCCCTGATAATAAAATGCCCTGGATTCAATCCCTGGTACCAAAATATAAATAAATGAAGAAATTAAATTAAATAATTTATTATTTTGTGCTGGGGATTGAACCCAGGGCTTTGAGCATGCCAGGCAGGTGCTCTACCACTCTGCTATGCCCTCAGCCTTTGTGATTCTTTTTTTTTTTTTTTTTAACTAGTCAATTCAGGTTCATGTTTTGCATTTGGTCATGTTTCTTTAGTTTATCTTTGCAAGAGGGTTGGGGTAGGGTACAGTTTTCCTGACATTTAAAAAAATAATATTTGCTTTTTAAAAGCTCCCATGCAAGTTGTAGAATGCCCCACATATTGGATTTACCTGATTATGTCCTTATGACATCATGTGATGTGTCCCCTCATCCTCTATAATGCCCGTAAGCCAGTTTTGGTCTACAGCCATAATTTGCTAAGCCGGTTTCCACTGGTGACCACTAGGTTGCCTCCAGGGTCCTCGTGCCAGACCTCTTAACGACCAGGCTATTACATGGCCCTCCAGGCCAGCCTTCCAAGGCCTCTGCTGGCACCAACTCAACAGGAGAGAAAGGGACAGTGCGAGCCGCTGGTTCAAAGCCCCCAACACACTCTCACTGGAGGGCTGGGCAGCTTCGGAAGGGATTAGGGAGACACAGGGAGAGGAGAGAAGCCAGAAGCAAAACGGTCTCCTGGGCTGGATTGTGGGGGACCTTAAAGATTCATTATGAAGTGCTGACTTTACCTTGATGAGGCCAGGGAGCCATGGAGGATTCTGGGCAGGAAGTCTCGGATTTAGGCTTTAGGAAGATTACCCCTGGCTACCAAGAATAGAGTGGATCAGAGAGGGAGACGGAGGCTGGCAGCACAGGAGGAAGGGGAGGCAGATCAGAGTGGGCCAGTGTGGGGCTGAAGGAGAAGACAGGTACACAGGAGGCAACGTGGGTGGGAGGTGACCTAAAATTCCTCATGGGAACCCCAAGTCCCAAGGCAACGGGGATGGAGACTTTGGTCTAGTGTGGCATCTAAGGGACACTGTCCCCTCATCTGAAGACATTCCCATGGGAGCCCCATGTTCTAGGGAATCAAGCACAGAGGCTCTGGCCAAATATAAGAATCGGACTCCTGCTTCTGACCCCCCCATTTCCTCTTGCAATCTCTAAACTACCTTCCCTCCCTCCCTCCCTCCCTCCCTTCCTTCCTTCCTTCCTTCCTTCCTTCCTTCCTTCCTTCCTTCCTTCCTTCCTTCCTTCCTTCCTTCCTTCCCTGTCATTCTTATTTGTTCCTAAGAGGCTGCAGCCCCCCATTATGGGCAGCACATATTAGTGCTGAGTAACTATTGAATAAATCAAAGAAATGAAGTAGGCTGTGGTGTGGATGCGAGGTGTCTCCCCCTAAAGTTCCTGTTAGTCCAGGAATGTTCAGAGGTGAGGTGGTTCCATCATGAGCGCGGTGACCTAGTCAGACCCTCCTCATTTGAACAGACTGGGCAGTACCTCGGGGCAGCTGGGGCATGGCCGAAGGGGGCGGGTCACCGGAAGCTGCTCTGGAAGGGTGCAATTTCCCTACGGCTTCTTCCTCCCTCTCTGTGTCTCCTGACCCCACCGGGAGCTGGCACAAGTGGCTGGGAAAAGTCACTCGTGCCCTTTCCCATCATGCGCTGCCTCACCTCGGGCCAGGAGCAATGGAGTCCGTCATCTATGGACTGAAACCTTGGAAACTTAGAGCCCTAAATAAACTTTTCCTCCTTGAAGTTGTTCTTCTCAGGTCTTTTGGTCACAGAGACCCAAAGCTGACTCAAACAGAAATCGGCACTGGGGAGTGGGGTGGTGCTGTCACTTACCTCTGACCATGTGGTTCAGAAGTCTTTGGAGCCAGTCTGTGGGACTTTTAAACCTTGGGAGATGCAAGCTGGAAAACTTTTAGAATGTTGCAAGTGGAGCTTAATGGGTGATTCGGCGGGGGGGGGGGGGGGGGGGCTCAAATGACCAGAACGGTGACAGGAATGAGGACTGTGCTCCTGAGGTCTCAGGGGGAAATGAGGACTCTGTTGGGAATTGGACTAGAGGCCACCCACGCTATGTTCTGGCAAAGGACTTGGCTACTTTTTGCCCATGTCCTGAGACTGTGTGTGAGGCTGCATTTAGAGGTGATGGTCTAATTAATCTGGCAGAGGAAATTCCAAGGCAGGACAGCATTTAGTCAGTGGCAGGGATGTTGCTGGCAGCTTTTGGCCAGGATTACTGTGAGACTAAGGAGCAAAAAAACAGAGCTAAAGGATTTTTTAAACTTGCAAATTGGCCAGAAAAATGCTTGTAAAACTGGGACCAAGGAAGTTGTGCTTATTGAAGGGATTAGAGTCCCTAAAGGGATGCTGAGTACTTCTCACAGGGACAATAGGAAAGTTGACTTGGGGGCATCTCAGGAATTTGCAAGAGCACATCTACTACAGGCTCCAGGGTACAGAAGAGAAAATTCTTTTGAAAGGAGATCATGGGGGTTCCTGCTCATACATGGGGCCTAGGAATTTTTTTTTTAACCATGCTGAGCTACATCAGCACTCAGAGGATGCTGCAGCTATGATTCCGTGGAGCTCAGGTATGTGTGAGCTGGCAGCAGACCTTGGCATCATCCACGTGAGGCTGGAATGAGGGGATCATGGAGGCTTTCCCTGAGGATTCAAAGGAAGGCCTGGGAAGCCAGGCAAGGGGTAGCAGGGTCTGTCGGCTTTTGCTGAGAGGGTGATGCATGAAGCTGTAAAGGAGAAGCCAAAGCTGGAGTGGGAACCCCAGGACCCCCAGTAGTTAGGAAATGCCAGTAATGTGGACTGGCTGCAGAGAGAGACAGGTTAAAAGAGAGGCCAGTGCCTTCCAAGGGACAAGACCAAGGGGCAGAGCTGCCCAAGACCTTTGGGGAAAAAACAAAAAACAAAACAAAACAAAAAAACCCTTGCCATCATGTAGTACAAGGGGGAGTGGGTCACTGATTGGCAGATGCCCTGGGCAGGTGCATCTTCCACCCCATCTTCCACCCTTCGGCTGTGTTGTTCTGCCTCCTCTTGGACTCAAACAATGGAGTTGGCCCACCATGGATCGAACCTCTAAAATCACGAGCCAAAATAAACTCTTCCTCCTCTAAGTTGTCCTGGTCAGGTATTTTGGTCACAGCAACAGAATGCTGACTTACACAGTGGTCCCTCCCAGATGATGGGACGTTCTACCATGTCACACTCTAATACCAAAGCAACCTTGCAGATCTTGCCATGTCCGTTCTTCTTCTTTTTTTTTTTTAATATTTATTTTCTAGTTATAGGTGGAAACAATATCTTCATTTTATTTTTATGTGATGCTGAGGATTGAAC